GGAGGCAGAGAGAGCCACATGAAAGACGTTAAGAGCATATTCATTGTAGGGCAACCTCAATAGGAATCTACGCCATCATCTCAATGTGGGCTAGAAGTTTCCTCCTCCCAATCCTTCCGAATGCCCAATTCTCTGATTGGCAAATGATCTTTCAAATTGCCATGAATCCTGAAAGTGCTCAGTGAATAACTGATTAGGGAATGTACTGAGAAGCAGCTTTGTTCTTGAATGTTATCGAGGCCAGCTATACATGATGTTCACAACTAAGTCTGCTTATGCACTGATTATTTATGTACTGAATATAGCAAAAGTTACATTCAACTATACAAAGAGTAAAACACTGCTAACCACACTATAGTTTATTAAGGCATGCAATGGTAGAACGTTAAGTCTTGAGGGTATCAGGAGTAATGTTTCATTCTTTGGAAACCAGATAACCTAGCATTATTCCAGTCTAGACCCATCCCGTCCAACATAATGGCCACCATCCACAGGTAACTACTTGAGCATTTGAGATGTGGGTAGTCCAAATTGAGATGTACTATAAATTTGCACACTGAATTTCAAAGACTTGGTATGAGAAAACGTAAAACATCTCATTAATTTTTATACGAATCACATGCTGAAGTATTTTGGGTAGGTTAGGTAGAATATATTAAAAATATTTCCACTGCGGGCGCCTGGGTGGCTCAGATGGTTAAGCGTCTGCCTTCGGCTCAGGTCATGATCCCGGGGTCCTGGGATCGAGTCCCGCATCGGGCTCCCTGCTCCTTGGGAGCCTGCTTCTCTCTCTCTCTCTCTGTCTCTCATGAATAAATAAATAAAATCTTAAAAAAAAAAAAAAAAAAAAAAAAAAAAAATATTTCCACTGCTTCGGGGCGCCTGGGTAGCTCAGTTGTTAAGCATCTGCCTTCGGCTCAGGTCATGATCCCAGGGTCCTGGGATCAAGCCCCGCATCGGGCTCCCTGCTCTACGGGAAGCCTGCTTCTCCCTCTCCCACTCCCCCTGCTTGTGTTCCCTCTCTCGCTGTGTCTCTGTCAAATAAATAAAATCTTAAAAAAAAAAAAATTTCCACTGTTTCGTTTTACTTTTTAATGTGGCTACTAAAAAATCTTTAATTACAACTGTGGCTCATTTCACTTCTGACAGCAGTCTATATTAGTTCAGTAATCTGAAACATACAAGAGACCTGAAACACTTGTAGCAATGTGATCACAAACATTCACAAGAATTTTTTCCTTTGGTACAAATCAGGTTTTGTGATCGATTAAGAAATAAAAGTAGCAGGGCGCCTGGGTGGCTCAGATGGTTAAGCCTCTGCCTTCAGCTCAGGTCATGATTCCAGGGTCCTGGAATCGAGCCCCACATCGGGCTCCTGGCTCAGCGGGGAGCCTGTTTCTCCCTCTCCCTCTGCCTCTCCCCCTGCTCATGCTCTGTGGATATCTGTCTCAAATGAATAAAATCTTTAAAAAAAACCCAAAACAACAGTAGCCAGTGAGCTTTAACTGGCACATTCGACACACCCAAGGTTTAGTAGATGACTTAAGAATTTAACAAGGAAAAGATTTGTAAAAGGGTGAAATAAATGGGCAAAGATGAAGTCCTGGTTAGAGTCTACACTGCACATCGTATCTAAGGGCCTCTGTTGCTCACAGAAAATCTGCTGAATCCAGAGGCTTTCTAGGACAGCTGTTTTCCAGCTAGTGACTCAGAACCCAGGGCTGCCATCATCAAGGCAGAGGAAAAGAGAGCTGGCTTGTAAGTGCTGCCACAGGGCCTGTGCTATAGGCCTTTGGTCTTTGGATTAGGGCAAAAATTACTGAGATATTTTATGTTTCCTCATACCAGGTCTTTGAAACCCAGTGTCTAAATGTACAGTACATCTCAGTTTGGACTGTCCACATTTCAAGTGCTTAAATAGCTGCATGGGCCTCCCTGCCTTACTGCAGGTAGGGAGTCATGAGAGCGTACAGCCGTTCAGACAGACAAGTTGTGGGTTTCTGGAGGCATTCAAAGTCCAACACAAGCATTCTTTCCAATATGCTGGAAAAATGAGAGCAACAATCAGGACTTGGTCACTTTACTGAATGTTTCTAACAGTTAGGTACTGGAGCCAGTCAGAGGGCGTCCTCCTCACAGGCCCCGAAAGAGGGAGGACGAGTGCAATCTCTTCTTCAGCCTCCACTTTGTTTCTAACTTTCCTTCTCAAGTACCACAGTCAGCAGATACATAGAAGTAGATGACTTTTATTCCTTTTTGGTCAAAGGAAAGGGATTATACAAATGTGTATAGAGAAAATGACAAACAGAGGCTCCTCCTATTATGTTGACAATAAGTTGGACGTAAGCTGTAGCTAATGGGGACAAATTTGCCCAGTTATCTATTGTCATCTTTTTTCCTGCATCTTATGGTTAACATATATAGAAAGGAATCTAGTTACCTACTATGTGGCCCTACTGTTCAATAAGCTTATGCCACATATGTAGGCTACCTTCAGCTATCTTCTTGGCTTTTTAATGGATATAATTCTGTTCCATAAGTTATGCTAGTTGTTTTCGTGCTTCTAAGATGTTTACACAAATGTGGAAAAAATCTGAAGTATAGTCTAAAAATTAAATCTAGCCGCAGGTGGGGCGCCTGGGTGGCTCAGTCATTAAGCATCTGCCTTCGGCTCAGGTCATGATCCCAGGACTCTGGGATCGAGCCCCGCGTCAGGCTCCCTGCTCCGCAGGAAGCCTGCCTTCTCCCTCTCCCACTCCCCCTGCTTGTGTTCCCTCTCTCACTGTCTCTCTGTCAAATAAATAAATAAAATCTTTAAATAAATAAATAAATAAATCTAGCTGCAGGTAGCTCAACAGCTCCATCTTCCTGCCAATATCTCCCTACAACCCTCCCTTCAAGTACATACAACCCTACCCCTTCCCTAACACAGTAACACGAAACACAACAATATGTTTTAAGTGTACATCATACATTTATTACCAACAACCCTCTCAACTCCAAAATTGGGCACAGGGATTAAAAATAAAAATTCATTGCACTACTTAGTAAAGCATTACTAGTAACTTTCATAAAAAATGTACAAACTTTGTTAAAAATTTATCAAGCCTTCAAATGATTTGGTTACAGATATTTATAATACGTACATTTAAAACTATATGTTAACTGATACAATGGAATATGATTTGAGGAAATGACTCAGCAAATGATTCCAAAAAACACCCCTGTAAGCTTTCGTAATCTGAAACAAACAGCAAAATGAGGTAACCAAATGTACCAACAGGGGGGGAAATAGCTTTCTAATGAAGGCCTAAAGATATCTGTGAAAAATATTCTCTTTGAGTTGGTAGATCTCATTCAAAATACTGTAAGAGGCCCAGATTTAAGAATCTTAATAAATCACATTTCAGAGAGTGTATAAAATCTAAATACGCTTTCACATTTTCCAGATTTTGCTCAAAAAAATTCAGGACAGAAAATCCTAATGAGATCTTGATACCTGGAGGCCTTGACTTGTTTTTTTTGTTGTTCTATTGGGGGGCGGGGAGCACGCTAAAATAATTCAAAAATGATAATTCATGCAAAACAACACAAAATGAAACCCCACAGCAGAGTTAAGATGGTAAAGCCAATATTGTTTTAGGAGAAAAGAGGAAGAAGGCAACAAACCAACATCTGCCTGCTATCTGGTGCATCGCTCAAGGTGACAACAGCTGGGCTTGAATCAACTATTCTTTCTTTTGCTAGCCATGAAGTTGCTCACAGTGGCTAGTCTGAGCTGGTTCAGAACACATGCAAGGTATGCTCCTAATACACACTAACCACTTAATAAGCAAATCTGTACACATCTCTAAGGGCCCCATGCAAAGAAAGACATTCCCAAAGAGAGATCAGTCACAAGAGTGCAACATTACTTCAGGATTTTACCAAAATAGACCCTGCTGCCTCCTAAATTGCCAACTGCCTCTCGAAAATTTGGTGGAAAAGGGATATTATGACAAGAATTCATCGTAAGAGGGAGGGAAGAAAGAGCTATTTTTCCTAGTCATTAGTACAATGTGCCTTGTTAATTAGGTATCTATATAAATTAGAAAAAGTGCTTTACTTGCATGCTTCAATAAAATGAATACTGAGTGTAGTAGTGTTATGTTAGATCTGTACAGATATAAATTTTTTGCAGCTATATAAAAGAGTCTATGTATAAGATGGGCTTTTGCCATTTTAAACATGATTTTTTATAATTAAAAAAAATAAAGATCAAACTATACGTGATTCATAATGTAGCTGATTATTATGCCTATGCCAATAATTTTGGTCTTCAACACGCTTTTTATTCATCAGGAACAGGTGGGGAACGTCCTAATGATTGAAAAGTAACATGTGCACCTTAGCACTGTTGAGATGTATTTCTGATGCACTGACAAATACAGGGGCAAACAGAAAGTGTGCAAAATCCTATTTGTCTGACTAGATAGAGGCAACAGTGTCTGGAAAAGGGCAAAATTGTGCTTCTGTGAGAATTGACTTTACTGAACTCTAAGCTGGGATGAGCTTATAGAGACTTCAAGGGAAGGCAAGTAGCATGGCAGTAACAAGTAGTTAACACTGAGTAGAAAACGGACACAGAGCCAACTGAAAGCTGAGTGAGGCTGGCAGCAAGTCATCACAGTCCTGACTGGGATTATGCAGCTTGCGCTACTGCAAACAAAGCAATGACCTCAACGGCAGGAAGAGACAGACAATGTTGAAGACAATAAAAGAACGAGGGAGGAATCAAAACATTGCTGGAAAAATGACTTTAAACAATCTAAATGATGCTCAATGGACCTATAAAAAAACCCCACACAGCTATGTATTATTTCAGATCAACTAAATGAAGGTCAATTCCTGTTTTACAGCATTATTTTTTATACAAAAATCAAATCTTCATTTATACTGCAAGTATTCTGGACCTGTTATATTAAATTTTTCTCTTTCAAACAAAAATTTTTTTAAAAAGCAATAAAACATCGAAGCACATCAGGTCTAAGACTTCGAGCTGTCACAGCACTTGATCCATCCTGGAAATGAGGGTTTCCATGAGAAGCACATTTACTGAGGGAAGAACTAGACAACTTTCAGAATTGGAGGTTGGCAGGTGAATCGATACAAACAGAAATACAGTTTCTTAAAACAATTTAGTTGCCTATGAGAGCTTAACAAAGAACGTATCAGAAGTCAAGCTGAATTAGCTAACAGATTTTGTTCTGGTGGAAGTAAAGGAGGTGAGACTTCATGGGACCAGCGATATTCTTAGAAATATATTACTCAAATATATTCAGAATAGACTACAATCCTAAACATTAAAAAAAAAAAAAATCACAGGTACTTCCTCTAAGAAGCTTACTGGAAATGTAAAGGAAAAAACAAGAAAGTATCAACATTCAAATCACTGATTGAAATGCTAATATTGCTAACTGATGATGTATGATATTGCACCTTCTTTTTGGAAACAGCAAGTTGGAGATTAAAAAAAAAAATTTTTTTTTTCCCACAACAGAATCAAAAAGTCCGGTTCATGGAGTGAGAAATCTGTTACACTTTTTTTCTTAAGTGACCCACTTGGGACCACCAGCGAAGAGAAGGTGACAGCTGCCTGAAGCAAAGGAAGAAGGCTTTTCTCATTCCATTCACTGGGAGGGAAGGGATGGAGTATTCAATGCTTATCGTTGATGCACCCTTAGCAATCAGTGTGCAACAGCAAACACAAGGGAAAAAACCAGTGTACAGTACTAGTGCTGTTTAAATAACACACCAGGTTATACATTGCAGCATACTTAACACTACACACACATTCTTGGTACATGCTGGTATATAGGAGCTCATCCACACATTAGCTACCATGCCCTCACACAAGTAGCTGCGCGCACTCTCTCCCACGCACAGATACATTTATCACCACAGTCATCCGCTGCATTCATTTCCACTCACAGTTTCTGAAGGCTCTATATAAGGTAGATTGCTATATCATCTGGAGCTACCACTTTTTATAAAAGCACATGCTAAAAGATCACGTCCACTGTAATCTTGCAGCAACACTCGGAATGATCACACAAAAACCAGGGAATGTTAGTGCACACACAAAATTAAGCTAAAGAAAAAGTCTTTGGAGTTCCAATCACACGGTTAGTATAACAATCCCATAATTGTGAAGACTAATTGTAAGCTTTTATAGTTGATTAAGTCACACAGTGCAAAGAAAGGTCCATTGACCCTTTTGGTAAAGGGAGGGCTGGAAGCCACACAGATTAAGTTCAATGGATAGTTCGTATATACATGTGATGAGGAACACCCAAACTAAATTTGTGCTCTTAGGTTGGTCATTCTGAATCCCGATGCACTTCTGAAGCATCAGCTCGGCAGATTGGGCAAGTACGATTTGCCTAAAACACAAAAGAGAAAACTTGTCTGAACTGTGATTTACACAATGTAACATGTGAAAAGCAATGAGCTATTTTTACTTCTCATATAGTTTTTACATTCTTTATTCCTTTAAAGTACAAAGCAATCATTTAATCTCTCTTTTTAAAAAATACACCACAAACTCAAAGACTTAGCAGCTGATGAATGATTTTTTTTTATAGGTCTGTTCCAACATATAGACAAGATTACCTATCACCAGTTTAGACAGATTTAATAACTAGCTTAAAATGACCTCTCAACAAATGGCACCACCATTTTCTGAGTTGCCAAAGCCAAAAAACTAAGTATCACCTGCTCTTACTTTCTGAACCACTTGATTCATCAAATACTCCCATCCGTACATTATAATAGCTCTCAAATCAGTCCTCTTCTTTTCATCCAGTTGCCAGTATTCCTTCTCTGTCTAGCCCAGAACATCACCATTCCATCTCAGAAATCTCTCTCCTTTTCCATTCTCCAAACGGCGGTCAGTCATCTTGATAAAACACAATCTCAGTCACAGCCTTCCACATCATTTCCAGGATCAAGTCCACACTCCCTCACACGCAATGTGACTTTACAATAAGCCAGTCACTGGCCGAATCTTTGAACATCTCTTCTCTTGCCACTCTTGCTAATCAGCCATATGCAATCTGCTGTTTTCTGATCAGTGTCTGTTCCTACACTGCAGGGCTGTGCATATATAATACTATCTTCTAAAAAGTTAAGACTCTCTGCCTTCAGGATTCGGCTTGAGCTAAACTGGGCACCCTTACTCTATGCTCACACAGAGGACTGATTCTATTTTAACTCCTCTTTCTTCCTCACCAAATTGTGACCTTCCAACCCAGTGGTACTATTTCCTAATCAGACTACTCTTAAAAAAATAATAAAGTTGACTATTTTTAAATTATTTTACCGCATATTTTTATTCTATTATAAAATATAGAATTTGTGTCCTTTGGGTATTTCATATCTACAAAAGAGAAAATGATCAGAATTAAATAAAAGCACTAGTGGTTCATTTCCCATGTAAATCTCTGACAAAGGAGGTCCAGTGAGGTCCCCTTCTAAACTCTCACAGGAAACTGCCCCAGCAAGTTGAGGCCTCATACCTATATTCCACTAGAAAGGACAGATAACTCATTTTCAAGTTTTGCACAATCACTCCCACAATGATGACTCTAGTTAATTTTTACTGGCCTTTTATCTTCATTTGCAGAAATTACTGAATATTTTGTCTCCTTACCCATCCTCCACCAAACAATGGACTTATTTTACATAAAACTATGGTCAATAACAAAGAAAATTCAGTGTTACTCTCTTCACTGATGCCATCACTTTACCTTAAGCCATTTGTCGACACACTTGGCATGGAACTCGTGGTTACAGGGTAAAACTCTAAGTAGCTGCCTTGACTCAAAATCACACATGCATACTACACACCTAAAAAAAGCAAAAAAGATCATTTAACCATAAATCCAAGTGGTTGTCTGCTTTATGACTAATGAAGCCTAGATAAAGCCATTTACCATCTCACTTTTCAAACTGTCATTTAAAGTTTATGACAAAATAATCTATCAATATCCTGAAAAAAATCATGATATTAAGACATTTAGAGTGCTTTGCTTTACTGAGAGATCATCAAGAACACTGGTTAGGGGCGCCTGGGTGGCTCAGATGGTTAAGCATCTGCCTTCGGCTCAGGTCATGATCCCGGGGTCCTGGGATCGAGCCCCACATCGGGCTCCCTGCTCCGCGGGAAGCCTGCTTCTCCCTCTCCCACTCCGCCTGCTTGTGTTCCCTCTCTGTCTCTGTCAAATAAATAAATAAAATCTTAAAAAAAAAACAAAACAAAACACTGGTTAAACATCCAAGCTATCTTAATACTGAAGACACTATTAATATTCAACAAAATGGTGTTGAAACAATCAGACCTCTATATAAAAAGAATGAAGTTGGACCCCTATCTCACATGATATATGAAAATTAACTGAAAAGTGGAACAATGGCCTAAATTAAGAGTTAAAAACTATTAAGCTCCTAGAAGAAAACATAGGGGTAAATCTTCATGACCTTGGAATAAGCAATGGTTTAGCAGAAATGACACCAAAAGCACAAGAAACAAAAAAAGTAGATAAATTGAACATAAAAAAAAAATTGTGCTTCAAAAGACACCAGCAAGAAAGTGCAAAGACAACTTACAAAATGGGAGGTGTTTTTGAAAATCGTATCTCATAAGGGAACCACTTGTATGTGTAACATATAAATAACCTCTACAACTCAATAATAAAAAGACAACCCAATTTAAAAATGGACAAAGGATATTAACAGACATTTCTCCAAAGAAGATACAGGTGGCCAATAAGTACAGTAAAATAGCTCAACATCATTAGCCATCTGGGAAATGGAGATAAAACCTTAATAAGATACAACCTCACTCCCACTAGGACAGCTAGAATCAAAAGAAATAATAAGCAGCACTGGAGAGGATGTAGAGAAACTTTACATATTGCTGGCGGGAATGTAAAATGGTGTATCCACTTTGGAAAAAACTGGAAGTTCTCAAAAGGTTAAATAAAGTTGGGGCACCTGGCTGGCTCAGTCAGAAGAGCATGTAATTCTTGACCTCAGGGTTGTAAGTTCGAGCCCCCATGCTGGTTGTAGAGACTATTTAAATAAATGAATAAATAAAAACTTAAAAAAAAAGTTAAACAAAGCTACCATATGATCTATTAGACACCCAAGAGAAATGAAAACATATATCCCCAGAAAAATTCTGTACACAACTGTTCACGATATTATTACTACTACTAGTCAAAACATGGAAACAACCTAAATGTCCATCAACTGAGGAAGGGATAAGCAATATTTGGTTATCCATACAACGGAATATTATTTGGCCATAAAAAGGAAGAAGTACTGATAGAAGCAACATGATGGACCTTGAACACATTATGCTAAGTTAAAGAAGCCATACATAAAAGAGCATATATTGTATGATCTCATTAATGTGAAATGTACAGGACAGGCAAATTTACAGAGATAAAAAAGTAAATTAGTGGGAGGCTATACTGGACTAGATAGGGTTGGGGGAAAATGGGAAATGGCTGCTAGTGGGCAAGGTGTTTCTTTTTGGGGTGAAGAAATGGTGTACATTTGAATTTGAAGATGGTTGCAAAACTCTGAATATACTAAAAACCACTGAATTGTACACTTTACATGTGAATTAGGTCTCAGTAAAGCTGTTACTGAAGATACCATAATAAGCAGAATATTTGGGTAAAAACCTCAACCTGTACATGTACGAGACTCTTCAATCTTACATAAAATATTCTAAAGTTTGAAATAGAAACCATAAAATTTCTAGGCAACCTAAAAATCCAGAACAGGACTATCGAACAGAACTTTCTGAGATAGAAACGTTCTACATCTAACACAGCATCATTAGTGAGTGTAATAAAGAAACTTAACTTTTTATTTAATTTAAACAGCCCCACATAACTAGTGGCTATCTTACCAAACAGCACAGGCCTGGAGTATGCAATAGAGACTACTTATCTTTATCAAGTTACCCTTCACTCTCAAGCTTTATTTTATAAAGGTAGAAAAAGAAATTTCAGAGTGATGTAGGAAAGATATACTTACAAAGTCTGTTCTGACTGGTGGTTGTTAGGATTGAACCGATAAGAAGGAAGCTGTTCGATATCTGCTTTAGTCAGTCCTCGAGGCTTAGCCTCTCCCAGTCGCTCTGCCAGGTTTAACAGGGCCTAGAGAGGGAAAAAGGAGACAATTTTCATCTCTCTTTAAATTTTTTTTTTTAAAGATTTTATTTATTTATTTGACAGAGATACAGTGAGAGAGGGAACACAAGCAGGAAGAGTGTGAGAGGGAGAAACAGGTTTCCCAATGAGCAGGGAGACAGATGTGGGGCTCGATTCCAGGACCCTGGGACCATGACCTGAGCCTAAGGCAGACACTTAACGACTGAGCCACCCAGGCGCCCCTAAATTTTTTTTTTAAGGATTTTATTCATTTGTGAGAGAGAGAGCGCGCACAGGCAGGGGGAGAAACAGGCCCCCCACTGAGCAAGGAGCTCGATGTGGGACTCGATCCCAGGACCGTGGGATCATGACCTGAGCTGAAGGCAGATGCTCAACCGACTGAGCCACCCAGGTGTCCCTCTCTTTAAATTTTCTATTTCAATAATCAAAAAAACCCTAAAAGCAAACAAACAAAAGAAAAACTCAACCTTTATTATGGAAAATTTTAAATATATACAATACTAGAAAAACAGTATAATGAATTTCCACATGCCTATAACCCAGGCTCAACAATTCATGACTAATTTCATCGAGTACTATCCACTCCTAAAACCCCAAATTATTTTGAAACAAAGCTAAAACATTATATTTAATTGGTAAAATCGTTCTGTGTGTATCTTTAAAACAATCTGTCTACCTCAGCACGTCTGACATTTGGGGCTGGACAAAATTTTACTGTGGGAGGGCTGTCCTTATACACTGTAGGATGTTTAGCAGCATCCCTGGCCTCTAGCTGTTGGATGCCAATAACCCGCTACCCCCAGTTGTAACAGCCAACAATGTCTCTAGATGTTGCTAAATAGCCTCTGGGAAATAAAACTGTCCCCAAGTTGAGAATCACCCTTCTAAAAAATAAAAGACATTTTAAAAGAATATAACCACAATAACATCATCACACCTAAAAAATTAACAATTCCTTAAATGTCAAATGCCTCTGATTGTTTCAATTATTTTCAAAAACTTTTTTTTTTAAGATTTATTTTTTTGTCAGAGAGTGAGAGAGAAACAGAAAGCGCATAAGTAGGGAAAGTACAGAGGGAGAGGGAAAAGCAGGCTCCCCACTGAGCAAGGAGCCCCATGCAGGACTCGATCCCAGAACCCCGGGATTATGACCTGAGCCAAAGGCAGATGCTTAACCAACGGAGCCACCCGGGCATCTCTCAAAGGAGTTAATTATTTGGGTCTGGACTGAGAAGACTAGGCCAGAGTTTATCATTAATAAAGTCTAGGTTGGAGGGACGCCTAGGTGGTTCAGTCGGTTAAGCACCTGCCTTTGACTCAGGTCATGATCTCGGGGTCCTGGGATCGAGTCCCGCATGGGGCTCCTTGCTCAGTTGGGAGCCTGCTTCTCCCTCTGCCTGCCTCTCTCTCTCTGACAAATAAATAAAAATATTTAAAAAAAGTAGTTTGTTCAAATCAGGATCCAAATAAACCCATATATTACCACTGCCTGGTATGTCTCTAGTATCTTTTTTTACTCATATCTGTTGAACAAATCAGGTCAATGGCTTGCTTGTATAAATTCCCAGTCTGAAGTTTGCTGACCGAACCTACCTCTACCCTGAGACTTGTGTTTTCTTGTCCCTTGTACTTCCTATAAATTGGTAGCTTTGACTATTTCCATAAGGCTCATCATGTCTACCTGTTATGTTAGCAGCCACTAATGGAACACTGCTTAGGTCCATTAGTCCATTAAAGATGGCAAAATGGTAATATTCTATCACTTTCTTATTTATTAGATGAAATATTACTATACTGAGCCAGTGTCCCTTATCAAACTGTACTCAGTAGCATAATTTAAATAGAAAATGCAGGAAAAGACCAGTGAGTTACTTATTTTTTGAAGTTATCACTAAGAAATCATGGATTTTAAGACCGTTAGCTTCCATTATGCTGTTATCATGCTTATTGATTTTATGCCAGTACCTCCTTTCTCCCAGTTTTCAATGGCTCTAATTACTCATTTGCTTTATCCTACAATCTGGCAGCCCTTCGTATGCTGCTTTCCCCTGTTTTTTTAGGCAGTTGCGGGGTTAAGAGAATGGCTAATAATGAAATGATGATGGACAATGAGAGAAACAGAATCAATTTCCCAAAACCTCAATAATTAATGATATGATAGTTGTGTCTTAATATGATGACCCCACAATGTTGTTTTTGGTACAGCTTATTTGGAGAATTGGGTCATCTAAATAAATTGCTCCCCTTTACCATGCACACTTCTAAGTCCCTCTAAAATGGTAAATGGTAATTTGTTAAATTTAATTGATGCCAATTACAATTAGCAGATAAAATTTAGGATATAGCTGATGTAAATCTTTTATACCTCTATTATATATACTATAGGACACTGTGGTCATTAAAAACAACTTGTAACAATTATATTCAATAAAGTATGTTCATTAAGTCCTTACTGGATGGAGGCTATAATGATAATCAAGCCTTCAATGAATTTATATGATCTAGCAACAAGATAAACTAAAGTCAGGACATGATTAATATGCATAGTTTTATAAGAACTTTACACAAAAAGGAGGGAGGGAATCGTTGAGATCTGGGAATGGACTATAAATGCTTTTCACAGAGGTAGTATTTTTAGCTAGGTCTTAAAAGACGGTTATATTTCCAAATGTAGAGGAGGGGGAAAGTTCTTAGGCAGAAGGACAAGGGTAATAAAGGCACTTGGGAAAGAATGCAGAGGATAAAAAAAAAAAAAAAGAATGCAGACGATAGATTCAAAACCAGAAAAGCAAGAGTCTTGACTGGATTAAAATATGGCTGCAAAAGATCAAACATACTTAACCCAAAGTACAGTTTAGAAAGGTATTCCAATGCCAAATAAAAAATATTTTTCTTTCTCTTTTTTTAAAGATTTTATTATTTGTGTGAGAGAGAGAGAAAGAGAGAAAAAGCACGCACAAGCGGGGGTAATGGCAGGCAGAGAGAGAAGGAGGCCCACCACCGAGCAAGGAGCCCCATGTGGGACTCGATCCCAGACCTGAGCCGAAGGTAGCCACTTAACAGACTAAGCCACTCAGGCGTCCTAAAATATTTTTCCTATGTTGGGATGGTATCACTGTTTTTCCATAATCTATTTAAGAAGAGCTGTCCTCTTCAGCAACATTACTTATGACTTAATTTTAGTACAGAATACCTAAAGAATAACCAACTCCTTTGCATGAAATTAAAGTCATGCAAGTGTAGAAACAAAACCAGGAAATTATTACAGCCCCTTTCTCACTCTAGAAATCTGGAACTGGAATCCAAAGGGCAGTGTGGTGTGATTATATAGGTAGAGGGAAAATGATGTAATACCATTTTGAAAACTATAGAGTATAGTATTTGGCCTGATCTCTTCCACATGTGTTAAAATAAAACCAAAGGTGTTTTAAGATTATGTGTGTTAAGCTTCTCTTCTCTGTCCCTAGGTTCTATTCACACTGTATAAATAGAGACTGAGTAAGGCTGGGGTGAGAAAGGTAACTAGCAGTATAAAAAAAAGTCACAAAAAAAGTTATATTGTCACTCACATTCAACAATACAAAGTTACCTTCCAACCCCTGAACTGCACCTCCCATTCCTAACCTCAAATAATATATTATATAAATATATAAAATATAAGCTACTTGACTTGCTGTCTTCTTTCATTCTGCCTTCTTCATGAACTATTGCAATCTTTTTCGCAGAGCATCTTCTTTTGCAAGCCCCCTATGCAAACCCGACACTACCACAAACCATTCAGCAATGAATACCTGATTCTAGTATTAAGTCTCTCAACTTAAACCATATTTAAGAATTTTAAGAATAAAAAAGAAAAAAGTCTCTCAAGATCTACTCTTTTATATTTACAGTTCCCATAGTTCAGAATCGCATGGTTCTATAATTTGCTCAACCTATTAAATAAGTTTTCCTTCCACTAACGTCTAACCATTCCCATCTATTCCTTCTTGCTACTAATAGAGTTTTGTAGAGTCTGATGCCATGAGAACCAAAACATTTAGCAGCTCTTTCCTCCCACAATAGTCAAAATTATGTCTCTAGCAGGGCACACATACTCAACAACAGCCAGTTGAGATTTTCAATCAAATCTCTATTTTCTCCCTTTCACTTAAAGCCACCAACAGTGTATCATGCCTCAAGAATATCCAGCCTTCCCTACCTCAATCTCATGCATGAAGCAGCTTTTCCATCCTTTAGGAACCAGCTCAAACACAATCTTTTCAGAACACCCAATCACAATTCACTGTTTTCTCATTATAACTGTATGTAATTCTAATACAGCACCAAGCCTATCTTGTTATCATAGCTATATGGTACATGTAGAAATATCCTAAGGATACTGACCACTTTGATATATTTGTATTGTGAAACATACAAAGGATATATCAAATGCATGTTTAATTAGGTGAATGAGTGAATGAGTAGAACAATACTTCTTACGCATATAACACTACCCAAACAAACTCATAGTTCACCGACTGACCTCATAATTTTCTACTTCTCCATCTTCCACGTCCAATTCAAAGCTGAAAGTTGGGCCCACTGCAGGTGGCACTGGGAGCATTGATCTGCAGTGAAAACAACCAACACTAGCATTGATACATTGGTACATTACTTCAAAGAACAGTTTGGGAAGAATAAGGTTAATGCTAAAAGAATAAAGAATGGTCAGTGTTAATCAGTGGCAACTCTTTAAAGAAAAGGACTTTACTAGAGATAAAAACTGACATTAAAAAAATACAATTCACAATAGCATAAAAAAATGAAACATCAGGGATTAATTTTTTTTAAAGATTTTATTTATTTTATTTATTTGAGAGAGAGAGAGCGAGCACATGGGGGGGGGAGGGTCAGAGGGAGAAGCAGACTCCCTGCTGAGCAGGGAGCCCAAGGCGGGACTTGATCCCGGGACTCCAGGATCATGACCTGAGCCAAAGGCAGTCGCCTAACCAACTGAGCCACCCAGGCGCCCCATCAGGGATTAATTTAACAAAACACCTGCAACACCTATATAATTAAAAACTAAAAATACTACCAGGAAAAATTTTTAAAAAATTAATAAATAGAGAAATATACTGTTAAGCAGACTAGAAGATATCAATTCTCTTCCAAAACTGATCTATAAATTTCATGCAACCCCTACTAAAATCCCAGCAAACTCTATTTTAGTAGAAACCAATCTGCTGATTTTAAACTTTACATGGATCATGTAAGACTTTAAATAATCTTAAGAACCAAGTTCTGATACCATCTGATTTTAAGACTTATAATACAGCTAAAATTATCAAAATAATGTGGTATAGGAACATGGCCCTCTGTATAAAGACATTTCCTAGTCTTCTTAGAAGGTAATTACAGATTTGAGACTGAATTCTGGCCAGTGGGAAGTAGGCAGGAGTAATACATGCAACTTTTATGAAAGTATCCTTGAGAGGAGGCAGGTAGGCAGAGAGATCCATTTTCATTTTTGCTAGTTGGAGTGTAGATATAATGGCTAGAACCCAAAGAGCCAACTTCAATCATGTAGAGAAAGCCATAAAATTTTGAACATGGTAGAACCATTCCTTAATTATGGGGCTAACAATCCCTGAACGGCCTACTTCTGAACTCATTAAATGAGAGAAATTCAAAACTATCATGTGTAACCCTTGGGCATTTGTTACAAACTTAACCCTAACAGTATTTCTAAGGCACAGAAATGACTTATCTGTCCCTCTTTCCTTGGGAAAGCAGCAACATCAAAAGCTGGATATTCGGGGCACCTGGGTGGCTCAGGTCATGATCCCAGGGTTCTGGGATCAAGCCCCACGTCGGGCTCCCTGCTCGGCGGGGAGTCTGCTTCTCCCTCACTCTTTGCCCCTCCCTGCTGCGTGCATGTGCGCACTCTCTCGCTCTCTCTCAAATAATAAAGTAGTAAAAAAAAAAAAAAAAAAAAAAGCTGGATATTCAAAGGTGGCTAGTGATCACAGCTGTAAGAGAGGCAAAAATTGTAAACTTTTCTACCTTTTGATTTTTTAACCTTATGACCTATTTTCTGGCTCACAAATTTCTTCCTCTCCCACTTCTCCCTTGTTCTTGGCTCTTCTCTTTATTTCACCCTTACATAGTTCCCCATCCCCACCCCTTAACATTAAATAAAAACAAATATCTAACACACCCTAAATCATATGTCACATAGAAGATATTCATAAAAGAAAGAGAATGTCAAGGGCATCAAAATTCAGAATTCACTAAAATGAGAAAAACAGAACTTACAATACATATGGTAGTAAGCTGGGATGATAAGGGGGAGGTGGTATTGGCTGCTGGGATCGATATCTACTACGTCCTGTGAGCCTCCGAGGCATAAATGGAGGATAAGGCTGTAGGAGAAAAATGTTAAAACAATTTAAGATCATTCTACTTTTGTAACTATTTATTCTGTCGAATGATCTCTCTTCCTAAAAAACCTACAAAATTCCTTACTATTTAAGTAACATTTGGTATTTATTAAAAGCATAAATACAACAACTAGTTTAAAAAATACACTTAGTTGTATTTTTTAGTGGTTGGGGCAACTGGGTGGCTCAGGCAGCTTGGCATCTGACTCTTGATCTCGGCTGGGGTCAGGATTTCAGGGATCAAGTTCCACATCAGGCTCCGAGCTTAGCGTGGAGTCTACTTGTCCCTCTCCCTCTGCTTGCACCGCCGCCGCCACCCCCGCCCCCAGCTTTCTCTTTCTCTCTAGAAATAAATAAAATCTTTAAAAAAAGAAAATACACTTAGGTGATTTTTATTTATTTATTTATTTTAAAGATTTTATTTACTTATTTGACAGAGACAGACACAGAGAGAGAGGGAACACAAGCAAGGGGAGAGGGAGAGGGAAAAGCAGACTTCCTGCCGAGCAGGGCCCGATGTGGGGCTCGATCCCAGGACCCTGGGACCATGACCTGAGCCAAAGGCAGACACTTAACGACTGAGCCACCCAGGCACACTTAGGTGTATTTTTAAATACAATTTTCCAACCAAATGCTTTCAAGAATACATTTAAAATTCTAAATATGTAGAGTTACATAGAAACAACTCAAAACAAGTAAGTTATCAGAGCAAGTAATAGATTAATAACCATGAATGAAAACTTACTACTCCGAAGGACACCTCCTGATGCAAAGGATCATGGGTTAAGAACTGCAAAGGAGCTGATGGAGGTAATGTTGGGGGATGGGCTGATGGAGGGTAAGTAAAACCTCCTACTGGAAGATGCTCTCCTAAGAGTTCCACTTCATTTTCTATCCTTTGCAGAGGCTGAGGGAGGAAAAAAGCAAACTAATATATTAATATACTACCAGTGTTTAGACTATGTTTTAGAATAAAAATTAACCCCCCCCCAAAAACACCTTTAAGGTCATGTATTTCTTGATGTTTACACCAATCTAAATTTATACATGTGGACATACAGACTATAGTAAAATCTTCCTATCTTTAATTGGATTTCAGTAAAAAAAATCTCTGAAACAGGTCATTAAAACATTTCTGCTATCCATTCAAAGATAACATTTTACTATTTGAAATTTCTCTTAAAAAGGAGACTGAAAGTATATGAAAGTTAAAATTGCTTTTTAGTCATGATACACTGACCTACTCATAAAATTTTTTCAGACATTTAATTTTTAGTATATGAAATTAAGCAGGTGTATATTTATAAATCAGAACCAGGGCTAAATGGGATAAGATAGAGCAGGCATGATGCTATATTAGAAAGCTTATGAGCTTTGGCATTAGACAGATTTGCTGTTGTCACTAATCAGCCATGTGACTTTTATATAAATAACTTAATATGAACCTCAATATTATCTAGAGGACTCACAGGTTCACTGCCTACTTCAAAAGCATGCTATGAACACTGAGACAATGTACAAAAGCAAAGCACACAGCATGTTTCTTCTTGACAATAGTTTTACTGAGATATAATTCACATACTATAAAAAAATCACCCTGCAAAAGGATACAATTCAGTAGATTTTAGTAGTTCACACAGGACCTGTGTGAACATCACCACTATTTAATTCCAGAGCCCCCCTCCTCCTCCAACCCGTACCCATTAGCAGTCCACTACCCCATTTTTCCAGTCCTGCCCAAGCCCTGGACAATCGCCAATCTACTTTCCATTTCTACAAATTTGCCTATTTAGGACATTTCATAAGTATGTGTCATTTGTATCTGGCTTCTGTCACTTAGCATAATGTTTTCAAAGCTCATCCATCTTGTAGTTTATCAGTATTTCATTCCTTTTTATAGTTGAAAAATGATTCACTGCATCAGTTGATGGACATCTGAACTCCGCTTTTTGCTGTTAGGAATAATGCTGCTATGAACATTTATGTACATATTTTTGGGTATCCGTTTCTCTTAGGAACATGTATTCTTCAAAGTTAGTCTGACTTCCTCCTGAAGTTAGACAATATCAACACACTGTTCACTATTCAAACAAAATTTCACTTTAGTTTGGGAGCTTATATATGCTTGAGAGAAATCCCAACTGCTGACACTATGACACCATAAGTGAACCTAAGTTCTGATTTGGCTATGTGACTGGACCTTTTAAAGGATTCCAAACTCAAACATAAGTGATAGCAAAATTTTGTTTTAACCTTGAATTCTCAGGTACTGGAAGCTAAGGAACATCCTGGCATCAATCCTGCCCTGATTCTAATAGAAGATTTTCTTGTAGAAGTAGTTATAACTTTTTGGATTAGCCAAACTTCTGTCCTAATTGGCTTCTATAGTTGTCAGAAGAGTATCCATGTGAAGTTCATCTCTACCTGAAACCCAGCATGGTGTATAAATCCTTAGTAAAGGATGGTTAGGTTCTGCTAGAATACATGGTCAAGTTCCTTTCACAGGATGGAAATCTTCTCCCTTAACCATTCCATATGTTCTCTTACCTGTTCTTCCTGAATGACAGTTCAGCTGTTTAACTTGGCCTGTCCAAAAAACATCTGGGCCTCCTTCCTGTGCCCTCCCTTCCACTTCTACAGTGCTTATACCTCCTCTAACCCCAATATGCCTCTCAGCTAAATTCCAGTCCCAAGACAGAATTAACTATGTTAATAGATCTCATCTTTTCATCAGAATATAGTAGAAAAACAGGACTTCAAAAAAACCCAGAAAACAAAGAAAAAAACAACTGAGGCTCAGAAATTTACTTTACTTGCCTAAATGAATGTAATTATTATAGCAAGTATAAACAATTTTATAATACTTTCATTTTCCAAGATTTCAGAAATACATAAAAGGAAAAAAGAGAACTGAATTTTTCGTCAGACTTACTTCCTGAAAGACTGCAGATATGAAGGAACAAATTTAAATTATACAAAAGAACTAGAAAAATTTAAGCAACCAAGATAATTTTAGGTAAAGATGTTTATATTAATTTGTATGTCTGTGAATTCCCTAATTCTTTTAAGAACCAGAAGAATGCCTAAATTATAGTTTTTAAATGGTAACAAATTACATGTACTAAATTAATCTGTCTCTTAGGTCTACACATTCTCTGAAAATTAAAGACATAAGAGTAGATACCTACCGATCGTGATTGCTGTGTTTGGAAAGGGACAAACTGGCCTGGTGGTGGCAAATGAGGAGGATGATGGGGAGAAAGGTGAGGAGGATGTAAAAGAAATGGGTCACTAGAAATAAGGGGTGGGAACGCAGCATATGGTACTGGTAAGTGCTGAACTGAACATGCTTGAAGCATCTGTAAAAGAAATCGTTATTTGTTGTTTAATGTTTCAATATATAACTAGTAATAACAATTTTTAAAAAATCTATCACTGAGATTAAAATGTCATTGCCATATCCCGCTCAAATTCATACCAAAGTGTCTTAATGACCTACATTAACAATGAAATAGTAGTGTATTTTTGCATCTATCAGTAAAATACTGGTAACTAGTAATTATTCTGCATTTTATATCGTTCTGACACATCAGTCAAAACACCTAACTTCCTCTTTAGCTTTTTGACACCTATGAAATGGGGTGAAAAGTGCTGCATAGAAGAGGAAGCTCCTTCTACTTGACTGAAGAAGCGGATATTACTGCCTTCCCTTCCAAGAACCTCTCCTTTTCAATCTTACAAAAATTTTATATAATTTTGATATTTATTAAGAGCCCAACTCACTAAGTGCCTTTTATGTTTTGTCTCTCAATATTTTAGTCTGCTAATTCAGCACACTGATTCCATAATCCATTATTGAGAAACCAAGGTTGGGATAAATGAATACATTAAACTACTGTTGGTATTTGTGTGTTCCTTTTAATCTCACATTCAAATAAGGATATTAGGATTATATTTAGTTTCAGCAAAGTGCTTTACTTCGAAGACCTTAGACAAGTCATTTAAATTCTCTGGATTTCAGTGACCTCATTTGTGAAATAAGGAGGTTGGACTGGGGGTTGGTGAATTAAAGGATAAAACGTAAGCTTAAGAGTCAGAAAGAAGTGGGTGTGAATCACTGCTCTCTCATACTAATTATCTCTGTGACATTAAGCAAGTCATTTTCAATTTCATCATCTAGAAAATGGGGATACCACTTTCACCACAGGCTTCCTACAGTAAGAAATAAGACCAAGCACTCAAAGTGCCTGCTAAAATCCAGTAAGTGCTTAGACTATTATTGTTGATCACTAAAGCCTGTGAGACTAACTTACTAACTAGTTCAATATCCTATGTTAGTACCTTAAACTCAGCCTTTATCAAGGTTTAATTATAAACAGTGTTGATACATGCTTTGTCTTCAGGATATTCAAATATGTATAATTTAATTTGAAAATATACCAAGTTTTAAAGTTAATTTTATTAAACTGTTACAAGTATGCTTTGAGATTGCTGTTGCAATAAAATTGCCTTTTTTCACTTGAAAATGAAAAGCGTTTTTACAAAGAGCACTCTTCAATTCTGTTTGCTTACAGAACACACTTAGCCCTTCTAAGGGGACGGCAGACTTACTGGAGGAGGCACACTACAGACAGGGAGGTGCTGTCCACTGAAAACCACAGAGCATCCTGGGACCTGTTGTGTACTGCAAGCAGGGATGTGCTGGCCTGTGCAGAGTGGGATCCCATGTGGTGCCACTGTTGTTACTGTGTAAGAAACAGGGACAGTGCCCTGATGGAGCTATTAGGAAAGAAAAACAGAACCTTAGAACTTCAGCTGTTTGAATAAAAAATCAACTATCAAAAATTAAAATCTGGGCCGTTATTGATTCCCCTCTCATCTGCACAGAGTTTCACAATGTACTTCTCCAATAGTTTCAACCAGAATATTCTTTGTCATTGTATAGGACATCTGTTTCAAGAAAAGTGTATGAAACCCACAGAACTGAGACTCAACTTGACCCTCAAAAAGACTTGAAAAGTCCAGGAGAATAATAAACTGCTGTATTAACTCTTCTAGTCTGCTTTACAGAGAAAACTTTTCTGAAGAAACTTGGAAACATGAAAGCTGTATCTTCTAATACCTAGCCACATCCAACAGGAAATTTTTTTTTTAATTTAAATCCAACCAGTAAAACAATGTAAAGTAGAATAAAGAAAGTTAAATTAATTTTCTTCTCTCTTGGCCAGTCTGATTCCTATCCTACCTGAGGCAAACAATGTTAATAACATATAATCCTTCAACATCTTTCTCCATGAGCATATGAATATATACAAACAGATTACCCACAAATTGTCATTTTTTTTTTTTTCCCTTAACATAAGTGATATTACCTTGCAAATTACTTTCTTCAATTAGTATTGTAGATATCTCTTCAAGGGCGTTAAAGTCAATTCATTCTTTTTGATACTAGCCAAATATTTCAAGTACACTCAACACAGTCCTACCGCTAATATACTAATGGGATATTCAAATTGTTTTCACTCCTTCACCAATGCAAACACAACTGTAAAAAAATATCATTGAATATATATCCTTACATACTAGTAGTTTCATTTATTTAAGAGGGATTCAGGGTAGAAGGGTGAATTTTACATTTTCGCAGAAGGCTGAGTAAGCCACAATCCTAACAGTAACAATAGGGCCCATTTCCCAGCACCTCCAATCAAAGTAGATGTACTTGTAAAATTTATGCTCCTAATGAATGAAAAAAAATATGCTCCTGAACTTTCTAATACTTTTATTTTTTACATTTAATTTATACTCCAACTAAAATCTATTTTTGCTTATAGTGTGAAGTAGTGTTCTAATTTTTTCTTGCAATACTTGTTCCATTTATTAAGACATCCTTTTCCCCTCTAAACGGAAATAGCACCTTTCTCCACTCAATAACTTCCCACTTATACTTTGTGCCAAATTCGTGCTGTTTTAGTTATCTTTTTTTAAGATTTTATTTATTTGAGAGAGAGAGACACAGCAACAGAGAGAACACAAGCCAGGGGGGGGTGGGGTGGGAGAGGGAGAAGCAGGCTTCCTGCTGAGCAGGAGGCTCGATCCGGGGACCCTGGGATCATGACCTGAGCCGAAGGCAGACGCTTAATGACTAGCCACCTGGGCTCCCCACTGCTTTAGTTATTTTACTAGAAATTAGGATGTAGGAAGACAAATTCTTCTTATTGCCATGCTTTTTCATTTTATTTCTTGGCCATTTTCACATGCTTATTCTTACGTAAATAAACTCAAATTTTATCCCCTTTCAAAACCCACTGGTGTCTTGATTTTTATTAATCTAACTATATTAAAGGTTACGTTACTTTACAAAGGACAACGTAATTTTATATTAAGGTTTTTCATTGGAATATTATGCCACATGTTCAATACTATAGTACTGTCCTTCAAGAAATTACTTTTCTTCATAAAGATCTTATATTACTCTTATATAATTTATTCCTCAAAGTTCTTTAGTAAGTTTGTAGGTTCTATTACATTGTCAATAGGTTATTTTTCTCCATATCAAATTGGTTAGTGCTAGTTTTATTTACGTATCTTGAATCTAACAATCTTACCCAACTTCATTCTAGATTTTTATTTTTTTTATATATTTATTTATTCATGAGAGACAGAGAGAGAGAGAGAGAGAGAAGCAGAGGGAGAAGCAGGCTCCCAAGGAGCAGGGAGCCTGATGCGGGACTCGATCCCAGGACCCTGGGATCATGACCTGAGCCGAAGGCAGACGCTTAACCGTCTGCGCCACCCAGGCGCCCTCTAGATTTTTAAAAAATTTTTCCTATGTACGTGTACAACTCTATCTGCTAAGATTCAACACAATTATTTACTTTGTCTTTTTGCTTTAGTGATAAAGAACCTTCAAAAATGATGTTCACAGGCACTCATAATCTGATTTTCATGGAAATGTTTACTGAATTTCTTTTTCTGTTCCCATTCAGTCTTTTCCCTGAAATAATACTGCTAATACTTTTTTCCAGGGAGTGGCTTGCTTTTTCACTTTTAAAATACTGTCTTTGGATGAGCAGAAATTTTTTATTTTAATGAAATCTACTATGCTGGTGTTCCAGTAAGTGGCTATTTATATATCCTGTTTAAGAAATCTTTGCCAACCTTATGAAGACAGTATCTTTTACCTTTCACATTTAGATCTAGAACCCAACTTTATTTTGTGTATGATATCAAGTAGGAGTCAGGGTTCCAACTTATGTGCATGGATATCCAACTGTCACCATACCATTACTAAAAGACCTTCCTTTCCCTCCTTGAATTCCTTAAAGCACCTTTGCAAAAAATTAAGTGACAAACATATGTTTAAGTCTATTTCTGACAATGAACACAATTCTTTAAGTTTAATTTATCAACAGTTCTCTGTATGGTTAGTGCTTTTCCCATGTCTTACTTAAGAAAGCCTTCCCTAGACTAAGGTCATGAAGCTATTGCTACGTTACTTTCTTAAAAGCTTATAGTTTTGCCATTAACATTTACATCTTTAATATATCTGGAACTGATTTTTGTGAACGGTATGAGATAAAGGATCCAGTTTCATGTTTTCATTTGGATACCCAATTGTCCCAGCATCATTTATTAAAAATTCTGTCTTCTTCCAACTCATTTGAAGCCATTTATCATTAAAGTATTCATAAATGTGTGGGTTTATCTCTGGGCTTTATGTTCTATTTCATTAGCCCATTTAATTATTCTGGCATTAGAATCACCTGCATTAGAACAGGTTGCTGGGTCCCACACCCAGAGTTTCTGATTCAGTAAGTCTAGTGTATAGTCTGAGAACCTGCATTTCTAACAAATGTATGGGTGATGCTGCTGCTGCTGGCCAGATGATCTAGGACATACTCTGAGAACCACTTGGTCTTACCGACTAGACCACAGTGCCAGTCAGCCAACTATTCTTAAAGAGCCAGAAAGTATTTTAGGCTTGTGGGCATCTTGATCTCTGCATAAGGCATCCATAGATGATAAATAAACAAACATAGTTGCATTCCAAAAAACTACAAAAACAGCCAGCAGTAGCCTGCTTTCCCCCACTCTAAGATAATTCCAGGTCCTTTATAAAATGCCATAGAAATGACAGAATCAGCTTTTCAAATTACACCAAAAACTTCCTGGAAATTTACTTGAGATTATGCTATTTCTACATATTCCGAATGTCAGTTTTGACAACGGGCAGTTTTTACAAAAAGGCTATATTCTAAGCCAAACCTTCAGTATTTAGACAGGTTTTCTTTAAACTGCTGTAACAAAGTTTTATAATCTTCTACATAGAAATCTTGAACTTCTTGGGCGCCTGGGTGGCTCAGTCGTTAAGTGTCTGCCTTTGGCTCAGGTCATGATCCCAGAGTCCTGGGATCAAGCCCCACATGGGGCTCCCTGCTCAGCAGGGAGTCTGCTTCTCCCTCTCCCATTCCACCTGTTCCTGTTCCCTCTCTTGCTGTCTCTCTGTCAAATAAATAAATAAAATCTTAAAAAAAAAGAAATCTTGAATTTCTTTTATTAAGATTGCTTCATAACTTCCTTATATTATTTTGATTTTTTCAATGATACGTTTTTATTTGAATATTATAGAGAATTTCAAACATGTTCAACATTAGTATAATGAGCCCCCATATGCATCACGTAGCCTCCAAAACCATTAAACCACAGCCAGTTCATTTCCATCAACTTCTCCCTTTCCTGTATTTTATTGAAGCAAATCCCAGGATCTCATCCTTTAATTTTTTTTTTTTTTTAAGATTTTTATTTATTTATTTGACAGAGAGAGACACAGCGAAAGAGGGAACGCAAGCAGGGGGAGAGGGAGACGGAGAAGCAGACTCCCCGCTGAGCAGGGAGCCCGATCCGGGGCTCGATCCCAGGACCCTGGGATCATGACCTGAGCCAAAGGCAGACGCTTAACGACTGAGCCACCCAGGCACCCCTCAATCCTTTAATATTTTAGTACGTATTTCTGGAAGACACAAACACTTAACCACAATAGCATTATCAATCTCCCCTAAGAAAAAGATCTTTAAAAATAATATTCTGTTCAAAATTCCAATTGCATCATCAGTATCAAATTTTCATTCAGAATCCAAAAATAGTTTACATACTGCAATTAACTGGAAGATCTCTAAGTTTCAACTGCCACTTGCATCTCCCCTCCTCACCCTCATCACCACAGCTTATCGGTTGAAAAAATCTGGGTTGTTTAGTGTAAATATATCTTAAAAAAAACTATTATGTTCGATTCTGGTATAGAAAAATACAACTGATTGTTGATAGGTTTTTGTAACTGATCAATCTGTTTAATTCTTAATTCTAATAGCTTACCTAAGATGCTTTGGGCTTTTCTATGCATATGATCATTTCATCTGCAAATACTGATGGTGTTATTTGTGCTTTTATTCTTAAACTCTTTTCCTTGCCTTCTGTCCTGGCTTATCCTCCATAACAATACTGGCAACAATTCATTTCCATTTCTGTGGATTTATCTGATTCTAGACATTTCCTATAAATGTGGCCTTCTGTGACTGGCTTTCTTTACTTAGCATGTTTTCAAGGTTAATCCATGTAGTATAGCATGAATTAATACTTTGCTACACTTTTTAGTGAATTATTTCATTGTATGGATATACCATATTGTATCTATTCATCAAGTGATCAATGTAAGTTACAGATGTCTACACATTTAATCTGCATTTGGGCACCATAACAAATTCTTTTATTTATTTATTTTTTATTTTTTTTTACAAGATTTTATTTATTTATTTATTTGAGACAGAGAGAGAGACAGAGAGCATGAGAGGGAAGAGGGTCAGAGGGAGAAGCAGACTCCCTGCCGAGCAGGGAGCCCGATGTGGGACTCGATCCCAGGTCTCCAGGATCATGACCCGAGCCGAAGGCAGTCGCTCAACCAACTGAGCCACCCAGGCGCCCATAACAAATTCTTTTAAACTAGAGTTTCTTTTTTTTTTTTTTTTTTAAGATTTTATTTATTTATTTGACAGAGAGAGAGAGAGAGAGAGCGCACAAGTAGGCAGAGAGGCAGGCAGAGGGAGAGGGAGAAGCAGACTCTCCACCGAGCAGGGAGCCCGACGTGGGGCTCGATCCCAGGACCCTAGGATCATGACCTGAGCTGAAGGCAGCCGCTTAACCGACTGAGCCACCCAGGTGCCCCTTAAACTAGAGTTTGTGTTTTCTTCTACAATTATATAGTGAGGAGAAAAATATAATTATTCCTTTCAGTGTTTTATACCTATAACTACATTATCTTATTCCATTTGGTAGAACTTCTAATATAACATTAAATAAAAGTGGACAGAGCAAACATCTCTAATTGCTGATTCATCTCTGGCCAATTAGGATACTTGCCGTTAATTTTACTTATTATATTTAAGTAATTTCCATTTTGTTCTACCTTATTAGAGTTTTTATTAAATTTTAACTGACTTCAACATCTTCTGATAAAATGATCATTTTCTATTATTTGTTGATGTAATATGAATATTTTCATATTAAGCTATCCTCTTATTTGGAATAAACCTTATTTATTCATAGGTTATTATTCTTTTTGATATGCTGCTAGACTGTATTTCTAAACATCTACTTAGAAAATCTTCCTTTGTATTTGAAAGACTTCTTCTATTGTTCTTTGGGGATTACTACTTCACCTTTATTTACTTTTGATATTAAAATTACATGAGCTTCATAAAATAATTAGAAAATTGGTCTTAAGAAAAGCCTGAAATCATTTGTATATTATTACATGAGAGTTTCTTATAGGTTGGAAAAATTATCTGTGAAGCCATCTAATCACTGTGCCTCTTCAATGGTAAATCTCTAAGTAGCTTTTACACTTATGTGGTAATTCAAATTTTTCTATTATTGTTGGGTCAATTTTTGGAACTTCACATTTTCTTCCTGTCCCCCCAGAGTTATACACAGAATTTCATTATAATAGCTAATAACAAAATAATAGAGTGCTTACCACTTGTACTAGTTTAAGTGCTCAAAATAGATTAACTCTTAATTCTCCCAACGTCCCTTATGAAACAGGTGTTTTCATTTTACAATTGAAGAAAATTCTTTGAATGTTTCCTATGTGTATGGATATACGTCTTTTTTTAATCAATCCTACTTCCTTTATATATTTTGTCTTTTCACCTTAACCAAGCTCACAGGGTGCTGGTTAGTCTTATCAATTTTTCAAAGCAACAGGATTGGGTTTTGTGCTACTTAAAAAAAAAAAAAAAAAAAAAAGATTTCTGTATTGTTAATTCTAATTGTGTTTCCTGGTAATTTATTCTTCTCAATTCCTTTTGGTTTACTCTGTAATTTTTTCCCCTAATTACTCAGGCAATTAGTTCATTTATTTTCAATTTTTAAAATAAATAGTGAAGGTTTATAAAATTTTCTCAGAAAACAGCTTTAGGCATATCTCACCGACTTTGAGGATTTTTCCTTTAATTTTCCTTAATTATAATCTTGCCTCAAATATTTCAGTGTCATTTTTATTTTTTTAAAGATTTTATTTATTTATTTGACAGAAAGAGACACAGCGAGAGAGGGAAGACAAGCAGGGGGAGTGGGAGAGGGAGAAGCAGGCTTCCCGCTGAGCAGGGAGCCCAATGTGGGGCTCGATCCCAGGACCCTGGGATTATGACCTGAGCCAAAGGCAGATGCCCAATGATTAAGCCACCCAGGCACCCCTCGGTGTCATTTTTAAAATTATTTTTAAACTTATGATTTATAGTTTTATCAGATTATGCCCACAAAGAATGTGGTCTAGAAAAATTTTTCTTTTTAGAACTTCTTACTGTGTGATCAATTTTTTAAAGTGTTTGATTAACGGGCGCCTGGGTGGCTCAGTTGGTTAAGCGACTGCCTTCGGCTCAGGTCATGATCCTGGAGTCCCTGGATCGAGTCCCGCATCGGGCTCCCTGCTCGGCAGGGAGTCTGCTTCTCCCTCTGACCCTCCCCCCTCTCATGTGCTCTCTCTCTCATTCTCTCTCTCAAATAAATAAATAAATAAATCTTTAAAAAAAAAATAAAGTGTTTGATTAACATAGGGTAGAACACATCTGACAGAAGATGGTGCCTGGGGGAGATCATATTTTCTTTCAATTGTCAATATACAGTGTTTTCATTGTTTCCTATCATCTAGTGCAGTTGAAAAAATGAATGGTAGTTGAGTTTCTCTCCTTTGTTAATTTCTCCTGTCTACAAACTTTAAAGACTTTTCCTTATTTTTAAAATTCAGCAACTTCATTAGATATATCTAGATTTGTGGCTTTTTTGACTTCAGAAACTCCATAAAAATCCAAACAATTTTGGTCTTTACTCTCAGGCTCTGAAGACTGACAAGCCCTCTTTTTCTTGACTAGTCCCTCAGTTCCTAGCAAGAACAAAGGGAAATGAAGCCTTCTACCTGTCATCCCTTTGGAGACCCATGGAAACCTATCAGCAAAGCACCCAGCTGTCTTGCCTACTGAATTATCCACAAGAAACTGGGAGAGGAAAATAGAAATGTGTATTCAAACCAGCTGTCTGGTACCTCCTATTAATCTTGTTATCAGTGATTTCCAACCAATACATGAAACCATTCTGAGCTTATAACCTTGCTCCTATTTTTTTAAAGTTCAACTTTCTTCTAAGCTGCATAGAATTTAAGAAGAATGAACTTTATCTAAAACAGCTTCAGTTTAGGGAAAATTGTTTCCTTTTAGGTAAAATTAAAAGAAATTTACAACAAAAAAACAAACAACCTCAATCAACTGCCACAATTTTTAGCATTGTATATTTTCTGGACATTCTGTTACTATACCTGATCATGTATGTCAACCATTACTGCATTTTGCTGGGGTGGATGAGCAGCAGGGTGTAACAGACGGGGAGATACATTCGGAGGGTGGAAGGCTCGAGGTTCCTCTATTGCTTGCTGCTGTGCGTAAGGGAGATGGTGATAGTTTTCATCTTGACTAATGGAATTATGTCGAGACAGACGATCCCTTCTTCCTCTCTGGCGCCTGACAGGAGGACTGTAATAGAGCAAATGTCAAAAAAGACATTATAATATTTACTGTTGTGATCCATAAGGATATATCAGTTTATGCTAAGGCAAAACCTTGAGTATTAAATAACTGCTGTGGTTCCCATCAGCTCTAAAAACATAATTTTAAACATGTTTAAAAAAAAAAATGGTATTCAGCTCTGCCAATATTAGAAATCAATAGCCCACTACTGGTCTTTTTGTTTAATTGTATGAAACCGCCCGTTGGAAAGGCAAAAGTAGTCAAATACCAGCAATTTCACATGGCTTAACCCATTATTTTGCTCCTTTTATCTTATAAACATATAAATTTTAATCTGCATTTATCTTGCCAATATTCCACATACGCCTAATGGGCACTTCATGTTTTGTCTATCTAGCTAAGATACACAGAAAGACATAGTTCTTCACACTGGTAGTTGCCAGAGGGGAGTTGGGGTAGGGGGAGCAAAATGAGTGAAGGGGGAGAGGTACAGGCTTCCAGTTACGGAATGAATAAGTCACGGGGATGAAAGGTACAGCATAAGGAATACAGTAAATGGCATTGTAATAGCACTGTATGGTGACAGATGGTAGCTACACTTGTGATGAGCATAGCAGAACATACAGACCTGTCAAATCCTTACGTTGTTACACCTAAAACAGTGTCAACTATACTTCAATTAAAAAAAAAAAAAAATCGAGAAGGTGAAAAAAAGAGTTCCTCCGTAATTAAAATGAGAATTTTTCAAAAAGCAAGTAGAAAATACATAAAATAACTAAGAACATTTGTTGACAACTGCAAATATAATAGTAACTCAGTAAATGCTGGAAATGGAAATGACTGAGATAGTGTCAGCATAAATATTCCTGTAACAAGAATTTTTAAAGACTGGTTATGAAGGAAACCACTTTTACTCCCCCCTACACCAGTCATAGTCATCTACATAGTTTAACACAAATTTTGTCAAGCTGTTATTGTGAGATTTCCATTTTTCTACTTCTCTACAATTCCACAATTCATCTCCAATGCTTTTTACAATGGCTCAGCATCAATGCAATTCAAAAAAGCAGCCTCATTAAAATGTACTCTACAGGGGCGCCTGGGTGGCTCAGACATTAAGCGTCTGCCTTCGGCTCAGGTCATGATCCCAGAGTCCTGGGATAGAGTCCCACATCAGGCTCCCTGCTTGGCAGGAAGCCTGCTTCTCCCTCTACCACTCCCCCTGCTTGTGTTCCTGCTCTCGCTATCTCTGTCAAATAAATAAATAAAATCTTAAAAAAAAAAAAATGTACTCTATAGGGGCACCTGGGTGGCTCAGTCGGTTAAGTGGCTGCCTTTGGCTCAGGTCATGATCCCAGAGTCCTGGGATTGAGCCTGGCATCAGGTCCCTGCTCGATGGGCAGGCTGCTTCTCCCTCTCCACTGCTTGTGCCCGCTCACGCTCTCTAATAAATGAAATCTTTAAAATAAACAAACAAACAAAATGTACTCTACATGGGGCAAAAGAGGCCAAACAGCCCCCTTCCAGACAAAGCTATACATACAGCCCCTTCAGCAATCTTTAATGAGATCAGGTCACCTCTCTACCCCTAAATCTGCTGCTTCTCACTCCCAATTGCCCAATCTTAAAGAGAACAAGGACATTCCTTGTTGACATTAACTCTTAGATAGTGCTCTTGATACCACTCCCCAGGTTCTTGTTCCATTAACTGCCTCCACTAACTTTATTTTAATATGTCTCCTTTTGCAAAGTTTATATATCTTTGCTTCAAAATCTACATACTGTATTTCATTGAATATAAGATGCCATCCACCCTAGAACTCACTTTTTAAATGTTTTGAGGTAATTTTGGTATAGTTTTTTGTATACCCTTTGCCCAGCTTTCCTTCATGCTATCTTCCATAAGCATAAAAAAATTACTAAAATTAATAAACCCTGGTATTGTACTACTAATTAAACAACAGGGCATATTTCAGATTTCACCAGTTTTTCCACCTTTGTCCCCTCACTGTTGAGAATCCAGTACAGGATCCCATTATTGCATATAGTTGTCATATCTCCCTTTTATTTATTTTTTTGGGGAGTGGGGAGGAGCAGAGGGAGAGGGAGAGAGAGAATCTTAAGCAGGCTCCATGCCTGGCACAGAGCCCAACATGGGGCTCCATCTCACGACGCTGAGGTTCATGACTTGAGCCCGAAACCAAGAGTCAGACGCTTAACCGACTGAGCCACCCAGGCGCCGCTGTTATCTATACAAATATTTTAAAGGACTGTGTGTTATGGGGCGCCTAGCTAGTTTAGCCAGTGGAGCGTGTGACTCTGGATCTCAGGTTTGTGTGTTGGAGTTGGCTGTAGAGGTTACTTAAAATTAAATCTTAAAATAAATATATAAGATAAAGGACTGTTTTATATAAAAAATAAAAAAAGATGCCAATTAAACTATGATATACCATCAATTCTAAGTCCTTAATAGATGTTAAGATGTGGGAAAATATGTACCTTAAAATCAAAATAGAGTACATGTGCTCAGATCATTCATCTCCTGAAAATCTACTCAACCTATACATAAACTTTAAGGGCCCCTTTATTATTGTTTTATTCTGTTGTTGCCACTTGTTCTTATTTTCCTACTCAAAAATTTCAGCAGCACTCCCAACGAAACACAAATTACAATCCAAGTCCTCATGCTGACATTCAAGTCTCTCTATTATTTGGTCCCTTTATCTTTACTATATGGCCTCTCATTAAATGTTATTTGTGACCTTTAGAAAGCAGAATAATTGAAAAATCTAGAAATAAGAAATAATGATAATAATAAAATATGGACAAATAGTTCTTTCAGTTGACTTTATCATATTTTGTCATTTTATTTTTGGTGTATCATTTGCCATATAGCTGTTCTGTCCTCTTACCTGCCTAATGCTGGATTGAGTTTTCTATACGTGTTACCTATTTTTGTGTAGAAGCTATACATTCCTTGTTTCTATTCTCCTAGTGATTACCCTTAATTTTTAAATATATACCTACAGTTTCCTAAAAACACCCAGATTTACTCAGCTTCCTGGCAGGTAGAAATTAAGCTATTACACTCTTCTCGCCACTCTGTCCCCATCTCATGTGCAGATTGTTTCCGTATTTCTTTCTCTCTTTTTTTTAGATTTATTTATTTATTTATTTGAGAGAGAGAGAATGAGAGAGCACATGAGAGGGGGGAGGGTCAGAGGGAGAAGCAGGCTCCCCGCTGAGCAGGGAGCCCGATGCGGGACTCGATCCCGGGACTCCAGGATCATGACCTGAGCCGAAGGCAGTCGCTTAACCAACTGAGCCACCCAAGCACCCTTCTTTCTCTTTTTTAAACAACAGACCTTTACTCAGACTTAATAGTATGTCTTTTCCATTTCCTTTGCTAACCAATGGTCTTGAATCCTAGTTCTTGCATTCATTTTTCTGCTTCCTGGAGAGAGTACAATTCCTAACAATTCTTTCAGGGAGGATTTCTTGCTGGTCAATTCTGTCTCTTAATATTTGAAATGTATTTATATTTTGGCTTTACACTTAAGTGATCAATCAGCTGGCAGAACTCAAAGTTTGTCTTGGAACATTTGTGAATTTTTATTATCCTTGGTGTATGTTCTGTAAGTTCATCAAAGTCTTGTTCAACACTCAGTCTTGCTTAAATTCTGAGAAATGGTTTTGCATTATTTCTTTTAAAAGGTCCGTTCAGGGTGCCTGCGTGGCTCAGTTGATTAAGCGACTGCCTTCAGCTCGGGTCACGATCCCAGTGTCCTGGGATCAAGTCCCACATGGGGCCTCCCCTGCTCTGCGGGGAGCCTGCCTCTCCCTCTCCCTCTGCCTGCCAGTCCCCCTGCTGTGCTCTCTGTCAAATAAATAGAATCTTTTTTTTTTTTTTTAAAGGTCCCCTCCATTGTCTCCATCTGAAAATATTATTAGACATACTTAGAACTGATGGCTCTGTCTCTATATTTAAACTTTTTTATCCATACTTTTCATTTTGCCTTTTACACTACATCTGGGAAAATTTCTCCACTTGATCTTCCAGAAACTAGGACACCTTTTCTGCACATTTCCTGAGTTCTAAATTTTTCCTTAGTAAGGTTTCTAGGTGACTTTTATGAATATCCTCTTGCATGTCTCTCATGTTACACTTACTCAAAAATTCTGTCTGTTCTATTAACTGTTTCTTTAAGTTCTTTGTTTTATTGAGTTTAGTGTCCTTTTTTCACTTTGTGTGCTCATCTTTGTATCTTAAATTATGGTAGACTGCTGCTGAATATTGTATCTGCTTGCACAGCCTGCTTCTGGGAGGCAATCTGGCAGCTAAGCTCAAAGCTAGCCTACAATAAAGTACTAAATGGAGAATGGGGTAAGGAGTAACACACACTGCTGGGCAGAATAAGCCTTTAAGTTTTCTAGGTAAGTGCTTCCTCCTATCCTCCCGCCTCTGTGTTTCCATGAGCTTAGAGCATGATGCTTCTCCTTCAATTTAACAACCCACAGCTAGTTACTACTACTATCTGGAAATAGACACTTCTGACATTCCCTTTCTGATCCAGAGCCTTTCCTATGATCCAGCAATTGTACTCCTAGGCCTATACACTAGTGAAATGTTTCCACATGTACACCAGAAATGTGTACATAAAAGGTTCCTAATAACACTCTTTGTAATAGTAAGAAACTGAGCATAACCATTACTCAATAGATGGATAAATAATGGTATATCAATATAATGTAAGATTATACCAAGTAAAAATAAATGAACTACTGCTATCCATGTTAAAAATACAATGTTTGATAAACAAAATCAAAGGAGAATATATTTAAATGAAAGTAAAACTGGCAAAACCTAAAGTTACATTGTTTTAGAATACATTCCTAGGTATTAAAAAGTATTAACAAGGGACTGATGTCAAATCACAGAACAGGGTTTATCCTCTAGGAAGAATGAACAGGGGCTTTTGAAGTATTGACAATCTATTTTAACCTGGGTGTTGATACACTTTTGTGTTATCCTTTTAAGTGTATGCTTGTTTTACATGTTCTTCTGAATGTATGACACATTTCACAATACAATAGAAAAGATTACAGCAGGTGCTTAGACCGTAACCTTGAAACAAACAACCATATTGTCTCATGCTATTATATTTAACAGCTATAAAATATTTTACCTGGGTTGACATACATTATTTTAACTTAAACATTCCCATAAAATTGGGGGAAAATGCACCAAGTAATGTAAAAGTCTTAGTGTCTCAACAGAATATAACTCAGAAACAGGTTTATTTTGTCTCATTTGGAACAAAGAATGGTGGTTTCTTAAAATTTTTTAAGATTTTATTTGTTAGAAGAGAGCGCAGCAAGCAGAGGGAGAAGCAGGCTCCCTGCTGAGCAGGGAGCCCAATGCAGGACTTGATCCCAGGGCGCTGGGATCATGACCTGAGCCAAAGGCAGACACTTAACCAAGGTGTCCCAAGAATGGTGGTTTTAAGATCCTTCAGTATTGGGGCGCCTGGGTGGCTCAGTCGTTAAGCGTCTGCCTTCGGCTCGGGTCATGGTCCCGGGGTCCTGGGATCGAGCCCCACATCAGGCTCCCTGCTCTGAGGGGAGCCTGCTTCTCCCTCTCCCACTCCCGCTGCTTGTGTTCCCTCATTCGCTGTGTCTCTCTCTGTCAAATAAATAAATAAAATCTTAAAAAAAAAAAAAAAAAGATCCTTCAGTATTAGTTTCCCAGGGCTGCCATAACAAAATACCACACACTAGGTGGCTTAAAAAACAAAAATTAATTTTCTCACAGCTCTGGAGACTAAAAGTCCAAGATCAAGGTGTCAGCATGATGGGTTTCTGGTGAGAGCTCTCTTCCTGGTTTGCAGGTGACCACCTTTTCACTGTGTCCTCACATGCTAGAGAGAGTGAGCTCTCTGGTGTCTCTTCTTATAAGGACACCAATCCTATTGGATTGAGGGCCCCACCCTTATGATTTCATTCAACCTTAATTACTTCCTTAGAGACCCCATCTCCAAATATAACCACACTGGGAATTAGGGCTTCAACATATGAATTTTTTTTTTTTTTTTTTAAAGATTTTATTTATTTTTTAGACAGCGAGCGAGCGAGAAACAGCATGAGAGGGGAGAGGGTCAGAGGGAAAGCAGGCTCCCCGCTGAGCCGGGAGCCCGATGTGGGACTCGATCCCAGGACCCTGGGATCATGACCTGAGCCGAAGGCAGATGCCCAACCATCTGAGCCACCCAGGCGCCCCAACATAGGAATTTTGAAAAGACACAAACATTCAGTCCATAACAACTTCCTAACTCAAGAGTTTCAATGTTTCTTAGATTACCAACATCCTGGACATGCAAACACTTCTCTTACTCCAAGGATATACAATTTCCCTGAAGAAGAAATGTATGACCTCAGGCCACAACTGAAGAGGAAGAAGCTCAGAAGAAATATATTCCTCTGGAAAGGAAAGCCAGGGGCCAAATCCCATGACAGAGAGGACTGAGCACTGAAGGAAACCTCACTGAGTCTTTCACACCACAGGCTCCACAGTTTTATAAGAAACCTGATTAAGCTCCCAATTGCCTTAAGGATACAGAAGAAATAGGAATGGAGTGAAAAAAAAGAAAAAAGGTAGCTCATTTCTAGGGTCTCCATATTTCCTTACACTTTTGAACTATAAAATGCATTTTTCTGTAATCAGAATTGCAGGCTAGCCCACACAAAGCCTTAAACCATAAAGTAGCTGAATTCATATATAATGACATGGGTTGATTTTAGGTTAAGTCACTGTAGCCTCTTTCAATTTCTTCACCTGTCAACCACAAGCTAAATGAACTCTCATGCTCTAGTGTGGGAGTCTAAACAATGTGTCATGTTGTTTTTCATGTGTGGGTGTATGAGTACATATGTGCTGATGTGTTCATAAAATACCCATAGGGGAAAAAAATGCTTTCTGACATTAAAAAAAAATCTCATAAATCTACCAATGGAAGAAAACTTAAGACATACACTGTAATCAACTAACCTTCTTCTGTTGCGTGCAGGTGTGTTGCATCGTTCCCCTGAGAAGTGATGTTGGCTTGATCGAACTGAAGGGGGCTGCCTATTTGATGTCATCTCCCATGGTCGCATTGGTGGTGAGGGAGCTGGTGATGCTGATGTATAATCAAAGACTGAATGAGAGAGGCGCTGTCTCTTGGGACTCGGACTATCTTCACTCTGCCAATGCAAAAAAATCAATCAACTTAGTAAGACTTTTTAATAAGAATTCTGCATTACTATATATGCATAGGTGTTTAAATATATTTACCTTAAAGAGTAAAGGAGGGGAAAAATATGCTGTCAACCCAAATTAAATATCTTTAAAGAACCAAAGATGCTGGGTAAGGGAAGGGAGATGCAAAGTAACTATCAAATGAAAAGTAAAATCTGTTTCTTAAAAATTATCATAAAACTCATTGACATATAAGGTACACAGTAAGGTGATAAGCAGTTGTATGGAACTTGACCATTTATTTTTATTTTATTTTTTTTATTAAAGATTTTACTTATTTATTTGAGAGCGAGAGAATGAGAGAGAGAACACGAGAGGGGGTAAGGTCAGAGGGAGAAGCAGACTCCCTGCTGAGCAGGGAGCCCGATGTGGGACTCAATCCCAGGACTCCAGGATCATGACCTGAGCTGAGGGCAGTCGCTTAACCAACTTAGCCACCCAGGCGCCCTTGACCATTTATTTTTTAAACACTTATTTATTCATTCTAGAGAGAGAGCATTCATGCTGGGTGGAGGGGAGGAAGAGAGAGAGAACCTCAAGCAGATTCCTCACGTCAGGCTCTCTGCTCCAAGGGAGACCTGCTTCTCCCTCTCCCACTCCCCCTGCTTGTGATCCCTCTCTCGCTGTGTCTCTCTGTCAAATAAAATCGAAAGAAAGAAAGAAAGAAAGAAAGAAAGAAAGAAAGAAAGAAAGAAAAAGAAAAGAAAGAAGAAGAAAGAAAGAAAGAAGAAAAAAGAAAAGAAAGAAAGAAAGAAAGAAGAAAGAAAGAAAGAAAGAAAGACAGACAGACAGACAGACAGACAGACTAGAAAAAGTTCACTGGCATGGAGAATCATAAGTAAACGTATCTACTTTGTCTGGACTGGGAACTGGAGAAGAGATTTCTCTCCTAGGAATTCAAACCACAGGTTAGCTCCTCACACCAAATTTAGGATTCAATTCTTTCATTACCCATAGAGGTTGCCTATGAACCTCTAAGCTTAGAAATATAGAAACTGGTTCAGAATTATGTTACCACAAGGACTCTTGACAGAGGTAAATGCAAAGCAAAATCTGGAGGGATACTCCCATTAAGTTGGCCAGTGGTTCTTACACTTCTGCATGTGTCAGAACCACCAGGTTGTTGGGCCCACGAATCTTCATTTCTAAATTGTTTGTGGGTGATGCTTGCTACTGCTGGTCTGGAAGTACACTTTGAGAACCACCAAACCAAGTTAAGGGACTCTCTTAGGAAGAGTCCCTAAGGATAAACCCGCCATAAAAGAGAAATTTACTTTCTTGGGACCCCCTGGGTGACTCAGTCAGTTAAGCACCAAACTTTTTTTTTTTTTTTTTTTTTGTAATAGAGGGAGAGAAGGAGGCGGGCAGAGGAAGAGAGAGAATCTTAAGTAAGCTGGATGCTTTGATCAATTGAGCCACCCAGGCACCCCCAATGTCTGACTCTTGATTTTGGCTCAGGTCATGATCTCAGAGTCGTGAGATCAGGCCCCACATAGGGCTCTGTGCTGGGCGTGGAGCCTGCTTAAGATTCTCTCCTTCTCCCTTTGTCTGCCAGCCCCCAACGCCCACCTGCCCCAACTCACTCTTCCTCTCAAAAAATTAAAAAAAAAAATAAACACCCAGACCTTCTCCACTTGCCTTAACTATCTTCGACAGAAGATAAAATTTCTCATTTCACAATTAAGGAACAAATGTTAAATTGTTTTCATTCATTTTAAACAATAGATGTCAAAGTACTTAGAAAACTAAGACACTTCATATAAAGCAAACTGGTAATAAGGAATAACCATCAAGACGGACCATTTTTTTTGGTTTGTTTTGCAAAGGAAGGATATAAGCACAGGAAAAGTGAGAAATTAACAATTTCATATTTGAATCATACAATATGGTTTATAAAATGATCTCTCTACATTCTCTCATTTAATTCTCCACAACCTGAAGTCTTTGTTTATACTATATCCAGATTGATGTGCTGCTATTAGTCAAGACGAACCAATGACAACTGAATGACTACTGCCTTTGAACGACACAATGCATAGTCCTGTTTCACATAATTCACACTGGACTTCAATTTTCTGATGCACAGCTCTGATTTTCCTCGGCTCAAAAGATTTCAGAATAAAATCTAAACTCATAACAAGACTAACAGTACATTTTCCTGGGATGTTATCTTGCACATATGGAGGGGAAGGAGGCTTTGAATACTGTATTTTCAAAAGCATGCATTAAAAAGAAAAATCAGAAATTTGCTTTTTGATACGATCCAAGTTTGTGTTTTTTCATGAAAGGCCAAAGATTTTTTTATGTGCAGTGAGTGCTTGGAAAGGGACTCTAGTGGTATAGCACTGCAATCCCATCATAATGAACAGAATCCAATATTGTGTGAAAATATGATGATACTATCATTGGCCATAACTCATAGTCCAACTTCTAGGGCTCCCTGACTTTAGAAAAACATATTAATGTCCTATTTTTTCTTAAAAAAAAAAAAAAAATTAAGTAGACTCCACGCCCAGCATGGAGCCCAATGTGGGGCCTGAACTCACAACCCTGAGATCAAGAGTCAAGACGCTTAACTGACTGAACCACCCACGTGTCTCTTTCTTAATTTTTAATTACACAAAACATCACTGGTTCACAAAAACTGATTTACCTTGATGTTGTAATTTGTTTCCAAATGGTATGTTAGTTCCACAAAAACACTAGATTTTATGCATCATGAATCTGCAACTATAATAACTTTAAGCTGTAAACACAAATCAATGGTTAAAATAAAAAAAACTGAAGCATAAACATGAAACCAATGAAAACAGAGAAGATATTAAGAACAACCTGAAATCAAGAAATCCCTCTGAGCTACCCATTTGGAGTTTTCTGCAGATAGCTGGAGCTCAGACACTAGAAGTTTTACTTTTTGGTACACAGATAGATGGACAGGTTAATGAAGCTACAGGCATGAACAAAATTTCCCCCAAATAATTTATACAGAGAAAAGGAAGCCCAATATTGAACTCTTAAGAAATATTTTATGCCGAGTAGCTGATGAGAGGAAAGTGGAGTGTGGTGAGAGAAGCCAGTAGAATGGAGTTTCAAGGATTCAATTGAGAGGTCACATTAAGATGGGGACTGAAAAACATCCACTGTGTTTAACAACAAACAGCTCACTGACATGGAGCTATTTCTTTGTAATATGATTTAGTATCTATTATGCATATTGCCTCTTACAACAATTTTCAAAATAGCTTTTTCCCCCGTCTTTTCTTTGAAAATCTTTCTTATGAATTTAGGATGACTCTGTAAGGTTTCTAAAATCATAAAATTCTTTTTTTTTTTTTTTTTAAGATTTTATCTATTTATTTGACAGAGAGACACAGCGAGAGAGGGAACACAAGCAGGGGGAGTGGGAGAGGGAGAAGCAGGCCTCCCACAGAGCAGGGAGCCCGACGTGGGGCTCGATCCCAGGACCCTGGGATCATGACCCGAGCCGAAGGCAGACGCTCAACAACTGAGCCACCCAGGCGCCCCATAAAATCATAAAATTCTGATATTTTGGCTGAAATTTTTATTCAGTCTATAACTTTGCTGGAGAAGAGAAATTTTTTTACAATAGTTTTCTCTTTCAGAAACGTCTATCTCTGTGTATAAATCATGAAAATTTCAATCACCTAATTAACTTTCATAAACTTACAAAATAAAGTATCACACAGCTATCATTAAGACACACACACACACACCTGAAATCAAGGGTTCTAGACACGAAATCTAAGTTCCCCACAATGTACCTGTTTTATGAAAGCACCCTATCTTCAATCACAATCAATGAATTGGTTGATAGTACAGAAACTGCTAATTTTAAAACTATAAGGGGTAGATAGCAGAGACAAGAGGGAATTTTTTTGGGAGATGGAATTGTTATAATATCTTGATTGTGGCAGTGGTTCCACATCTGTATACATTTGTCAAAAGTCACAAACCTGCACTCTACAAGGGTGAATTTTACTTTATGTTAATTATACTTTAAATTGGGGCGCCTGGGTGGCTCAGTCGGTTAAGCGTCTGCCTTCAGCTCAGGTCATGATCCCAGAGTCCTGGGATCGATCCCCGCATCGGGCTCCCTGCTCGGCGGAGAGCCTGCTTCTCCCTCTCCCTGCCACTCTGCCTATCTGTCTGTACTCTCTCTCTATCTCTCTGTCAAATAAATAAATAAAATCTTAAAAAAAAAAAAAAATTAGGGCACCTGGGTGGCTCAGTTGGTTAAGCGACTGCCTTCGGCTCAGGTCATGATCCTGGAGTCCCGGGATCGAGTCCCGCATCGGGCTCCCTGCTCGGCAGGGAGTCTGCTTCTCCCTCTGACCCTCCCCCCTCTCATGCTCTCTCTCTCTCAAATAAATAAATAAAATCTTAAAAAAAAAAAAATTATACTTTAAATTTCTAAAACAATTATAGGGGGTACTTTGATTCTAATGTTGAATATAGACTTATTTTTATAGAGATGCAAATGTGCCTACACCTATACCTCTTCTGTGAGAAAATCCAGGGTAACAAATACACAAAGCCATCACTTTTATAGAAATTAAAATATCAACTAAGGGGCACCTGGGTGGCTCAGTTGGTTAAGCATCTGACTTTGGCTCAGGTCATGATCCCAGAGTCCTGGGATCAAGCCCCGCATTGGGCCCCTTGCTCAGCAGGGAATCTGTTTCTCCCTCTCCCTCTGCCCCCCACTGGTGCTCGCTCTCTCTCTCAAACGAATAAAATCTTGAAACACATACAAGAATATTCATGGCAACATTGCTTACAATAATAGTAAAAAACTGGAAACTACTGGAAATGTCCATCAAAAAGAAAACACAAATTTTGAATAACATATTAATGTTAGCATATTCATATAAAATGGAATACAAAAAGGAAATGAATCAACTCTCCGGCCCCATGCATCAACATGGATGAATCTCAAAATGAGAAAAATACAAAGTATGATACTGTTTATATTAAGTTCAGAAACTAAACAGTATAGTATTGAGAGATACTGCATGTGGTAAAACCACTTAGAGAAGCAAAGGGGTATTAAACACAAAATTCAGAGTTTTACCCAAGGCACAGGTATGCGACAGCAGGTAGATATAATATGGTAGGTCATCTGAATACTTCTAAAGTATTGGTAATGGTTGACTTCTTAAGATGGATGGTATTTTTAAAATTATATGTCTGATTTATACTTTGTAACTTTCACATACGAAATATTTTTGTAATTTTAAAAATTAAAAGAGCCTGTAAATTTTGAAAGATTTTGACAAAGAGTAATATAAAACAAGCAAAGTATAAAGGTCTTTAATAAGAACAGTGACAAAATTGATAAAGTGGAGATGAATAACAAATATAGCTCAAAAACAGATGAGATTTTTGTTCAAAGATGACTGGTGGTTGGAAACAAGGATCCGGGAAAATATCAAACACTTTCCTTCTCCTCTACGACCGTCCCACTTAATACAGACATACTCAATTCCTATGCTTGAAGTCGGGGGTGGGGGTGGGGGGGGGTGCGGCGGCCAAAATTTTTTTTTTAACTCATATACAAGATCGCAGGGAAAATGATATCCTCTGAAAAAAGACTGGTTTCAGCTAAGATAAGGGAATAAAGAGGATGCTTTAAGGAAAAAAAAAAAATGGAAGAGGTAAGTGAGTCTGTTTAAAATGGAGTATTCCAAAGGGAAGGAGAAGCAGAAAAAGCTGGGAGGGAAGGAACTTGGGGGAGAGCCAAGAAATGAAAACATAACATTAAAAGAATAACTCCAAGGATAAGAAATGGGTAGATTTCTCCCTTTCACGTGGCAACTAAGTTTTCTAAGGATAAGAGAAGCATAACTGGAACAAGAAATCATACCCAATTGTATTATCAGAATTAGATGAAGGTATGTGACAGCATCTCAAAGGGGATGTGAGAAGGATTTACTTTGCTTTATGCACAACAGTGGTAGGTGAGGAAGTGGGCAGAGAATAATCTCCAGTCTTCCCTGGGAGCCAAGTACACTGAGGCCCTTGTTTTAAAGTTAGAAAAAAGGAAGTCTTCAGTTTAACTAGGGCTATAAATAAAAATTTAACAATAATACCTTTCACCTTTCTGCAACACTCAAGTGGAATTGGCTCTTTAAATCTATTGCATTTGCCAGAAACTCCTTGAGTTTAAAGTTAATATTGAGTTAATGCCTGAAGACTCAAGGAAGTATGGAAAACAAAGAAAACATCAAATAACTGTTTACTGATGGCAGTAGTGAAAGTAGTAAGTCAATTTCTTCCTTAGCTACACTGGTTTACTACTAAATATCAAGCTATTACAGACCAATGCTGTATCAAAAATGGTAGTCAATACTCCACTTATTTCAATACAGATAACTACGTCTCTTAACATACAACTGTACTATTTACAGAAATGCCTGTTATCTAAAGGTGGTATGCTATAGTAGACAAGAAATAGCAAAAGGTGAATTTGAGTCTCTGCTCTGCCAATAACTAGCTATGTAACTGGGCATCTCAGAGAGCTTTTCTGAGCCTATTTCTTCATCTAGAAAACCACCCATGACTGGTTTATTATTAGGAGGGATAAAAACAAAGGAGACAATACATGCAAAGAGGAGAAACTGGCACAAATTGCAACAAGGAATATCATATTGAAGAGCCATGGATCACCTACAAAGCTATTCTCAGAAATTTCACAACTCCAATTTAATGTATCACAAGCATTTCTCTTTCAGAACTAGTCCCAAGCCCCAACCTACCACTCTCACACAAACAGAAAATGAGCCAGTTCTATCCAAAAGTCCAAGCTTTGATGAGCGACTCTCACTACCTCAGATTTATATACACATATACAAATATATGCCTTGGCCCACAACCCTAATATCCAGAAGCAATTTTATAACTAGTTTCCTTTTGGTAATACTAATACTGACTTCCATTACTAAGACATGCTTCTCCAGGAGTAATGGATTGGAAATTGAGTTGCCAGTAATTTATGTGAACACATGCTAGCAATCTTGTCAATAAACTGCCTCTGCCTTAATTTATTTTCATTTTATGTATAACAAAAATTTTAATCACATTTTACCTACAGGTACCAAAAGTGATAGAAGGCACATTACCATGTTTTCTTTTTGAAATATACATCACTATCAAACTCTGGGCACTAAGCAAGTAAGTAGTGATGGCTTTAAAAACTATCTTGCATGCTTCCATTTTTCCATTCCTACACAACTTCATATATCTACTTTCCTTTAGAACTTAGCCTATTAGGACAAGTGATTAAGACCAAAAGATAAAAAACAAGAATATTAAGTGGTCAAATAATAAACAGCAGCTCAAGAGAAGACAAACATTCTTCAGAAAAGCTGGCTAAAAAGTTATTTGAAGAAGTCCTCTAAGAAGAATACTTATTCCCACATACAACAGAAAATAAGAAGAAGATATTGAGAATTCTGTTTTAAGCCTTCCTAGAAACAACCTAAAATGTATCTGTGACTTTCAGCCCTACGTAGGGAAAGGGTAAATATATAAGAACCTGGAAGAAAGCTTTGAAGTGAGCATCCTCTTGAACGGTAGTATTCTGATCACTTGGGAGGAGAGGGAACAGGCTCTGAAGTCTCACCCTTTCACAAATCACCTTGTTAGGATGGCCAGGTAGAGGTGCTGAATTGGACCCGGGAGATATCTGGGAAAAAGAGGGAGAAGAAAAGGATAGTTCATGGCTAGCCACACCAATGTGGAGAATCAGGTCTATGAAGGACAGTCTGGATTTTCTACGTATTTGTGTTAGCAGAGACTGGAAAGAAATTAAAAATTAATCTTAAACATCAAAACAAATATAAGGATGGCAAAGGTTGCCTCTGGCAACAAATCTCTTACAAAAACTTTTTTAAAAGACAAAACAGCACTGCTCAAAAATGCAAGGTCCTTCCTTTGTTTCTGATAAAATATCAATATCTTTTCTGTTGGTATTAATTCTAAAATCCTCAAGGATAGATAAGACTTCATGTTAAGAAAACCTGAGGTAAAATCATGTTTCAAGTACAGAAAGATTACTGTCCATCGTGACTAAGAGTAATATTTTTTCATTGTTTTTTAATTAACCTTCTGTATGATCATGCAAAGACGACAAGAGATTTCAGAACATTTGTAGCAAACCTTCTATAATTACCACAGGTATAAAAAAGAAGAGTTTGTGGACAGCTCAGCTCTACTCAACACAAACTAGTGACCTTAAGAATAAAGGGTAAGATCATAAGCCCCAAAGCAAATGACTGCACGTTTTAAACGCTTGACTTGATCATAGGTTAATCCCCTTAAACTCATATGTAATATAAACTTAAATCTGCAGCACTTTTAATCATGGACATCATGATCATCACTTGTACCACTGTGCTGTGGAATGAACTACTACCCTTGGGAGTTAAGGTGTGTGAACCTGCTTACCCCTACACTGAAGACCATGTGCTTTAAACCACTGTCTGGCTTTCAGTTTCACTGTCTCATTCATTCCCTTACATATAAATGTCTATTCTGTGACAGGCACTAAACCGAGAAGATAGGCATGGTTTCCTACTTTCAAGAAGTGTATGCTATGAAAAAGAAACAAAAGCAAATCACTATACAATATACAGAGTATCATCTTCCTATGATAATACTATAGGCACTGGGTGCTATGGAGAGGTAACTGGCAAAATACAGCAGTATAGTCAAGAAACTGCAAAATGTTCAGTTTGGCTATCCAGTACAGAAGTAACCAGAGAGGAGGGCAGACACAGATCATGAAATGGCATGCTAATTATATTCATAATACTTCTACAATAACCTTCCTTAACCGTTACCTTTATAAATTGTTTCTGGTTTGCCATGAGCCTGGTAAATAGATAACCAGGCCTGCTGGTAAGACGAAAATTATTTCCAAACACCTTCCTAGGAGTAAAAATCACTTGAGGGCAGTAACTTTAGAATTCATTACTACTGCTACACAAAATATGTTCAACATGAGTTAAAGCTTATCTCTGCACTACACACGAGTGTGCTAATATTCTTTACCACTATGATGAAGCATGAAGTGCAGAATCAAGGAATATTCACTGAACGCCTCCTGCAAGTCAAGAGTTGTTAGAAGACAAAACGTGGATCCTGCCCTCAAGGAGCTTATTCTAGTTTAAAAAAAAAAAAATGCAAAGTAGCCAACTATAAGATGATGTCTTAAATGTCTGAATACAGGTAAAAATTAAAATAGAGGTAGGACCCTTGAGTTTATCTGAAGACAGATTTCATAGGAAGAAGTGTATTTCACATTCCTGACTCCTCACTCAGTCTAAGGAGTTCTTTCACCACTTCAAAGCAATTCTCTTAAAAGTCTGTTCCTTTACGTAAGTTTCATATTCTTTTTGTAATCGTAAGCTTATAATTTGCAAGATACCTTTGAAGAGTGTTTTAAAAAGCTCACCTATCTTCAACTATCATACCTGAAGCAGTCTGCATGAGGAGCACTCTTATCAACTGCTAGTACAAGTGGCTAGCTTGGCAAACAGAGATCAGGGACTCAGGTTTCCTCTCCTTAATTCTTTGTTCCTTTGGAAACTTAAGATTTCAGTCATATATAAGAAAACAAAAACAAAACTCTGGCAAACCCTGGCCCTTGTGCTCATAAGTTAGTAATTTTCAAGCATATTCCTCTCCTATCCACAACAATTTCCTTTGGTCAAAAGCTCCATTTGTCTATAAAAAGGGAGGACCAAAAAAAACCAAAACAAAACAAAACAAAAAAAACCCACCACCACCAATGGAGAAAAGCTATATTCAAATGCTGTCGTTAATACAGATCCAGGACAAAATGATAGATGGGCTTGAAACCAGGTGCACCCACTGGATAAAATCACATTCATCATTTTGTGTGTCCATGTAAGGCAGAATTCTAAGAAGGCCTCCAAGATTCCCACCTCTGGTACACATCTCCTGTATAATCCATCCCTCCATGGTGTGCAGGCAGAACTATAAATACAGTGGATTTCATTTCCATGGTTAGGTTAAATTATATAACCTAATTATACGAATGCATTCACAGAAGTGAAGGGATTTAAACGTAATTAAGATCCCAAGTCAGTTGATTTTAAGTTAATCAAGGTAAGCCCAACTTAAAGAAAGCTCTTGGAAGAGGAACTGACCCTTCCTGAAGAGATTCTCCTGTCAACCCTGCAGGCAACCACTATGTTTGTCAGAAGGCATACGAATGGGGCCATGTGGCAGAGACATGAGGGCACCCTCTAGGAGCTGAGAGGGTCACCAGTTGACAGCAAGACAACGGGGACTTCAGTCCTACGAACCATACTGAACCAACAACCAGTAAGCCTGGAAGAGGACATCAAACTTCTCATGACATCACAGCACCAGACAGGTAAAATCCCTAACAGAGGGCCCTGCAGCTTAACCCAAATCAAGATTCCTGATCCATGTAAACTGTGGGATAAGAGATTCATGTTTTAAGGTACTAAATGTGTGGTAATTTGTTACACACAATAGAAAACTAACATGACATTATGTATCGAATAGACCAGAAATTGCTGTACCACACCTGAAGAAAGTTTCTTCTCCAGAATTTTAGCTGTATTAATTTGATGAAAGATATAAATTAAGACATTTTTATCTAAGCAATACAGCAGTTTTTAAAATCTGATAATAGCTAACTTCATGCTAGGAACTGAATTAGCTCTCTGATCCTTACACACTGCAAGTCAAGGTTAACTGACTTGCTTAAAGCCACATATCTCATGAATACCAGAGCCATAATTTGAAGCTAAGTCTACCTGGCTCTAAAATCCATGCTCAACCCACTAAAACACCTTTAAGAATTTTAAAAGTACCATTCTTGGGGCACCTGGCTGGCTCAATTAGAAGAGCAAGTGACTCTTGATCTCCAGGTTTGAGTTCAAACCCCATGTTGGGTGTAGAGATTACTTAAATAAAACTTACCAAAAAAAAAGTAACATTCTTTGTAATCTAATTGGATTATAAAAAAACTATTCCACAGTCTATTTTAAGTATTCAAAAAATATTTCCTTGTAAATTATTTCTGACATAACTTTCCACTATTTCCCTCAATCTTCCTCATTTAAAATTACTTAAGATATACCATATCTGGAAATTGATACAATTGTATTCTTCTCTAACCTGGCAACTGTTGAACATTAAAAGATACAGTAACTTCAGTCTTCGCTCAGGATGCAACCTATGTTTAAAAAGTCCTGCCAAGAAAACATCCCTGAGACCTGATTAATCTCCAACTCCCCACACTTCTCATTTTTAATGTTTATTTACATATAACTATATGACTAATTCACCCAGCATAACTGAGAAAAGCACCTGTTTCACAAGACTAAAGTCACAGAAAACAGTTTAACCTTTTAAGCACCAATATGGTACTATTTTAGGCCATCTTTTGTTTAATGTGGCCTTTCGCCGTGTGGTAAACCATACTATAACTAACGATTTAAACTGTGTCTTGAAGAGTCTATTACCAGTCATGGTACTAAAAATAACATAGGACTTAGGTCCAGATATTGTCCCAGAACTTGCTTCCTCCAAAATCACTTCTGATGGGAGCTTCCTTCTTCGTTCATTTACATTTTTCTCATACAGGTGAGACAGAAGATATGCAGGTACATGACCTCTAGGCCAGCGTTAAAATAATCTACTTTCTTCAAAATAAATTGCTATAAGGCCAAATAGTCTTCCCCAAAACAACGACATTACTCTCCAAGGGGGGGTGGGGCGGAGTTCATTGTTACTAGCAGCATATCAACTGGTCAAAAGCACTCAAATCACAGCCTTTTAGAAGAGGGGAAAAAAAAACCCAAACCAAACCAAAAGAAAAGATGAAGAGTCAGATGCTTAGTGTTGACTCCTCCAAGTCTTCCTCTAGGTGCAAGTCTGGGTACCTAAAAAACGAAAAGGTCAAATCCAAATTATCTAAAAATCCACATATTCTCACTGCTTCCATGATGGCAAATGTTAATCTCCTGGAAAATAATCAAGTAGATTTTATTAACTATTTGAACAGTCTGAATCAGTAATCTTTCATCTGATAAATTCTCAGGTTATACTCCAATATGGGAATACCCCAAAATAAGGGAAAAGCCACATGCACAAATACGTTCATCACAGTACAGTAATAGCAACAATTTAAAAAGGGAACTAGAAGTAACCTAAATGTTTAACAAATAAACATTTGCTAAGTAAAATAATGGTAACATGCTTGGTGGACTACCATGCAGCCTTAACCCATTCAAGAACTGGTACTATCTACTGAAGGAGGATCACTGCTGTTCAGCATTGGGGCAATCATTTTCTAAAACAAACTATTATTTCCATTCTTGAGTTAAGGCAAACAACAAACTGGGTTCATGTCTTTCTGGAAGGACAACAGAACAAGGTTTGGTGAAAATAGCTAAAGGCTCCACCATCCTTTCCCTAACCCCACAGTCCCATAAATTAATTGGCGGGGAGTGGGGGGGGGTGGGGGGCGAGGTACATGCAATAAGGAGGTCTCTAACCATAACATCTACTGAGAAGGTGGACATAAAGGTTAGAAAAATAAGAGTTACAAATTTTTTTAAGTTTTCTTCTTTCCCTTCCACATCCAGATTTGCCGGAACAAAGATTTATTCTCCCAGCAAGGAAGTACTATTTATGCTGGTAACCTCTTAGCACAATGCTCTAAAGTATCTCTTCAAGATTTCTCTCTTAAGAATTACACGGATTTGGAAAGTATCTAGACCATGACCAGTCCAAATCAATATGAAAAATTTATATAAATATATATTTGAAAAGATAAAGTGTGACTAGGCTCTTTACGATTATTAAATAAAATTCATAATTAATTCAAATATTTATTGCATGTCTACTATGTGCTAGATGCTATGAATACATGGGGAAAAAAGAAATTATTCTTGCCCTCAAAGAGACTGTCTGATGAGGGGCAATTCCACAAGAACTAAATGAGGAATAGGGCCCTCTAACATAAAGGAGGAAAAGGTAAGGTGCTGAAGTCCTTAAAAAAGGAACATGAAAAGATGTAAGAATTGTGGAAAAACTGAGACTGTGTAAATGGCCCCTCTTCTTCTATTTGCTCAAATTTCTCACTTGTTAATTTACTATACAGAATTAAAGCATTTGCTTTATCTCCTCCACAAAGGCAGTCACTTTAAGAATTTAACATTTGCGGAATGAATGAACTAGACCAAAACTATATTCAAATGTGTGTTTACAATCTGTATACTCTCCAGAGAAAAATAAAACAAGCTGAGTTAACCAAAACAGAAAAGAAGTGAAAACATGCCTGATATATATGGTTAATAAGAAAATAACAAAAACAAACAAACAACAACAAAAAAACTAGTAAGTAGACCCAGACACTACACAAAACCCAGCAAAGTTAATTACAAAATGACAGTGGCCTAAACAAAACGGGCAGCACAGGAGAAACAGATGGAACAGACTAGAAGACAAAGATCTTTCCATACAGATCATTTGAGATTTTTATTCAAGGATTTCTCATCCATACTTCCCACCCACAACCTTGAAAAAAAGTAAAAATGAGCACAAATAGTCTGGCAATGTAACTAAAAGTTTCATCCAAAGCTGTTGGAAGAGAGACAACAGATCTACATTCCACATTATGATGCTAACAGATTCAGTTATGTCTAACTATGCCATCCTATGTCTACCCTCCCTCAAAAATCAGGTTGTCAACATTTACTCATATTAATACTTGCAAACTTAGTTCAGCTATAAAAACAGGATGTGTACATAAACCACAATAAGTACAGAAACAAACTACCTTCCAGAATCAGAGAAGATATCAGAGGTGGCGGGACCACAGACATCATTTACATCCAACTTTCATATTTTGCAGATGAGGCCCTATGGCCCACATGGCCAGTTTGTGGTAAAATTCATTTAACTATAGCCTTTAAAGTCTACCAAATCTCTTAGAGATAAGTCTCACAGAAAATTATATTAATCAACTTAAGATTGAACTCCTGTAATGAACACATTTAAGGTTTAATATGTTTTCAAAAAGAAACATTACTCCAATAAGTTTACAAGTTAGAAGTGGAGAAATAAGTATGTGAAGAGATACAATTCTCATTTAAAAATCCAGTTCGTAATTTCATCTTTTGATTGCAAGTATGTCCCAACTTCACTGCAACTGATCCAACAACTATATTTGGTCTTGTATTGTTACTTCTATAGAAGTCCTATCTCTTCCTTTCCAGTATGTTGTCTGAAGACAGGAAAAATTTTACTTTGATCCCAACTGTCCTTAGATTTGTTACGTTTTGATTTCACAAAAACTGTGCGAATGGATTTTTAACTTGAGCCTAGTTACCTGGGCTGCTTGCTATTGAAAGGAACTGAAGTAAATGTACTAACAACAGCACCTATAATCAAGGTCAAACAGGATCCCAAAAGGTTCGCAATTCTAAAGTAACAAACCGCTTGTGTATGAGTTGCATACACTTAAATTTTCAAAGTGAAGTGCGCCACGTAAGAGAAGGCAATTCACATGATGCCAGCAATGACATATGTTAAGTATTCATTTCTATTTATGGTGGAAAAATTAGCATACCCAGCTTTTGTAGCACAAAGAAAAAATTATGTCTTACAGGTCCTACACACGGAAACAAAAACTTTTTCTTTAGTTCTCTAATAATTTGAAAAATTCCCAGTACAAAACCAACCTCTCTCATTCTTCAGCCCTGAGAAGAACTTCCATGCCCTGAGAACAAACCGCAGCCTGTCCAGAAACCCGCAGAGCAGAAGGACGCGAAAGGACCCTTCGGAACGGGTTCCGCGTTCTCCTGGGTGACATCATTTCACCTGCGCCTCGGCAAAACGGGAGGGAGCGCGCGCGAGAGGCCATCTGCCAGGCGGCGGCGGGCTGGCGCTCCCGCTGGCTGCACCCACACCTCCACGCCGCCGCCACGGGAACAAAGAGCGCCGGGCAGCCGCTCCGCGCCCCGCCAAGCACCGGGCAACCACACCTCCTCCTAGTTGCCGGGAGCGGCCCCCGCAGGCTCCCAACGGCCTGCAGCTCAGACCGTCCCGCCCTCACGCGGGAACCAACGGCCGCAGCGGCCAGTACCTGCGAGGGGAGGCTCCGCCCTGCGGGGCTGCTCCCGCGGCTCCTTGCTGGGCCGCCGCCTCCTATTGTGACCGCTCGCCCAGCCAGCGGCCAGCTCGCCAGCTCCGCCGTTCCCGGGCCTCCTCACCCCCGGAACCCGGGCTCCGACCGAGGCGCTGTCTCGGCGCTTCCTTCCTCCCGGCACCATCACACGGGCCGCGCCAGGAAACAGCTGCACGGTCAGAGCTGACAGAGTCGGCTAACGCCTCGGGGGCTCCATCCTCTCCGCCCCCGGGCCCTAACTGCCGGGGCCGCGGCACGGTCCCGCCCCGCCGCACCCCGCCTCGGTGCTCGCGAACACGGCGTGCCGCGCCGGCGCACTATCCTCCGCTGCGCGCGCAGGCGACGCCCCTCGCCGCCAGGCCGCAAGATGCGCGAGCACGCGGCACTCCCACTTCTCGGTTTGAGGTCGCTGCCCGCCTCCCCACCACGTCCCCCAACAGGAACAAACCTAGCGACCACAAAGCGCGAGACCACCAGACGCTCCGCCCCTTTCCCCCTAGGCTCGGCTCCGCGCGCCGAGCCCCCTTTGTTTCCACCCCGCGGGGAAGGGGGGGAGGGGCGGCGCTGCGCGCGTCCGGGCGCGCGACTAGGACTAGTTCCGGCAACAGAGCCCGTCGCACAGCGCCCCTGCGCAGCGCAACCCCGCCCTCGCCCGCCTCTCAACCCGGGCGCACAGCAAGGCCACCAGCTACTGAACCGGACCCTGGGGCTGGCAGTGTCTCCCAGTTCGTACACATCTCTCCCTAAAGTATGGTTTCTGGGCCATGCCTCCCTCCTCCAAAACTCGGCAAACAGTAACCTCACTCAATTCACAATATAGTATGTATTCATGTGGACCCAGAAGTGGAATTTTTATTAATGTAGAAGGAGGTGATTAGTCGAAGGTGTCTCACAAAGAAACAAACAGGTTGGAACCCAACGTGTCCAACTCTAAGGATTATTAAACCTGACAGTTATTCAGACCATGCTGAGCATGGGAATGAGATGGGTACAAAGAACGTAGCGGGCAAGCTGCCTGTCCTGATCACATCTGAGATCTAAAAGGGAAGACAGACATACCATAAAAGCACAATAAATGCAAGGAAAAGACAGCTAAGTGGTATCTGAGGAAAAGCGGGCCATCAAGGGGGCATTATGCAAGAAGTGGGCTGTATGCAGATAGGAAAATGGTTGATGCCATCAAGGATGGTGATCATATTTTAGTGTAGTCCAATCAGCAAAAAAATCCAGGTTCTAGGGGCGCCTGGGTGGCTCAGTAGTTAAGCGTCTGCCTTCGGCTCAGGTCATGATCCCAGGGGCCTGGAATCGAGCCCCACATCTGGCTCCCTGCTCGGGGGGAAGCCTGCTTCTCCCTCTTCCACTCCCCCTGTTTGTGTTCCCTCTCTCGCTATGTCTCTCTCTGTCAAATAAATAAATAAAATCTTAAAAAGAAAAAAATCCAGCTTCTAGTTCTGGCATTACTTCCACCAGTCTCCTTCCTGCTCTGGGCCTCAGCTGCCTGTAGTAGAAAATTAAGGAATCAGACTAAACTGATGTTCAAGGATCTTCTGAATACGTATGAATAACACTATATGGTAATTATTTGTGAACATTTGTCTCCCGTATCAGACGGAGCACTGGCTCTCTGTTTTGGCTCTGGAACCCCAAGGTCCAAACCTACAGCCTGAAACACAACAGCAGGCGCTTAGCAACTCTGAATCAAAGTTCCAGCAATAAATCACAAGCTTTTACAATTCCTAGACAAAGAGAAGCTAGAATGATACAGCAGGCCCCAATAAATACATCCCCTCACCCCAGGCCCACACCCCCATTATGTAGTCCTTTTATCTAGCTGACTCTTCCTCCCAAAAGGCTGTCTTCCAAAGCAGCCAGTTTGTGGGTGATTACATCCAAACTGTAAAGTTTGTTTTTTTTTTCATTTCATGACACAGTCATAAATCCCAACCACACTTTTAGATGCATCCAATGCAATCGATTTCTAACTTGAGTCCCTCATAATTCCCCATCTACTGCTGTAGATCCACCTAGCTTCCAGCAGAACCTCAGCTGCACAAGCTTCCTTACATAATCCAGACCACTCTGAAACCACTTTTCTTGTATACTTGGATATTAGCTATGTGATGAGAGGAGGAAAGGAAGAAAAAAGTTGGGAAAGGGAAGGGAAATTACCATTTGAGAGCTCTCTAATCAAAAGAGCCAGATTCATCAAGTGCTGAATCTCAGCAGCAAAAATCTATTACAGTCCTTCAGGGTTTCCATTCCTTAAGCTTAATGTGAATCCCCTTGGGCCTCAGCCAATCCTTTGCGAGGCAAACTCCATGAGAAACCTTCTCAACTGATTAAGATCTTAGCTACCTAGGCTCTTAGGGCTTAACCCAAGAAGTCTGCCTAGATGTAAACAATAATCCCACAACTCAAGGTTGGATAGTTTGAAATTTGTACTGCAATTTCTTCTCTAATTGATTTTCTTCACCAGGAAATCTAGTATCTTGCTAATAAACACCCAATCAGTGAGATAGGCTTTAAGCTGGGCCACTTCTGACCACCCAATATGGCAGGTGGTAAATGAGAACAGTTGCTCAACCCCAGTCCACCTAAAATTTTATTTGGTGTCTGTTCAAAAAGGTGCAAAGCCTTGTTGGAGTGGTGTCCAGTAAAACTTTCTGTGATAGAAATGGTCAATATCTGCACCATCCAAAAAGAGGCCACATGTGGCTACTGAGCACTCAAACTGAGGCTAGGGCATCTAATGAATTGACTAGGATCAATTTAAATAGCCACACATGGTTAGGGACAGCACAAAACTTGTAGGCAAAGTAACTGATTATAACAAGAGCTTTTTGAGACTTCTGACTCCAGGACTGCTCTTTAAAATCAATTTTCACAACAGAAGTAAAAACTGAATGACTACTAAAAACTTCTTCCTGACGTACCCAAGTACGTCCCCTCACTTCTAAAATAAAAATATACCAATCACTGTTTACCAAATAGTAAAATATTAAAATTCCTTCAAATATGTCTGGTCATTGGGATTATTTACTGTGGTGACATACCATTCTAATACATGGGAATAACACCTGAGGTTTTGACTGGGCTGGGCTGGATCTAGAGATGAATCTTTACAATACTGATCTTCAATCTATGAGCAAGATGCATCCTTCTATTTACCTGAGTCACCAACTTCTTTTCAATATTGCTTTACATTTTCTATACAAGTCTTACATATTTCTGTTCTTTGGTTTATTCCAGGTTTTACATATAATTACTAATTCTAAAAATACATATAGTAATATACATGTATATTATATAATTATATAACTGTAATTTAATTATACATAATTAACTCTAATAGTGTATCTTAAATCTTTTTGAATTTGCTGTACATATAATCCCATTGGCAGATAATAATGACCATTCAATTTCTTTCTTTTCCAACACATTTTTCCTTTTCTTTGTCTTGTCTTACTGCATTGGCTAGGACTTCCAGCGCAATGCTAAATAGAAACAAAGAGAACATGCACTTCTGTCTTATTCCCAAACTGGAAAACTTCCAACATTTCACCATTAAGTATGATGTTTGTGATAGGTTTTTTTGCATATCCCTTTAGCAATTAAGAGAGTTCTCTTTTATTTCTAAATTATTAGAAGTTTATCATAAAGGAATGTTTAATTTTATCAAATTTTCCTGCATCTATGAGATAATCATATAATTTTTCTGTTAATATGTGAATTACATTGACTGGTTTTGGATGTTAAACCAATTTTGCATTCCTAATAAAATCCTGTCTTATTATATTACCCTTATTATATATGTTGGATTTGGTTTGCTAACACGTTGGTTAGGATTTTTACATCTGTGTTCTTGAATGAGAATAGCTGTTATTTTCCATTTTTGTAATGTCTTTGTCAAGTTTTGTTACAAAGATTATGCTAGCCTTAGAAATGAATCAGGGAGTGTTCTCTCTTTTTCTACTCTCTAGAATAGTTTCTGTAAGAATGGTGTTATGCCTTCTTTAAATATTTGGTAGAATTTGCTGGTTATCTTTTTTTTTAACATATAATGTATTATTTGTTTCAGAGGTACAGCAGGAAGGGAAAAATGAAGAGGGTGGAAATCGGAGGGGGAGACAAACTATGAGAGACTATGGACTCTGAGAAACAAACTGAGGGTTCTAGAGGGAAGGGGGTGGGAGGATTGGTTAGCCTGGCGATGGGTATTAAAGAGGGCACGTTCTGCATGGAGCACAGGGTGTTATATGCAAACAATGAATCATGGAACACTACATCAAAAACTAATGATGTAATGTATGGTGATTAACATAACATAATAAAAAAAGAATTTGCTGGTTAGCCAACTGAACCTAGAATTATATTTTTTTCCCTTACTTTTTAAAGATTTTATTTTATTTATTTATTCATTTTAAAGATTTTATTTACTTATTTGAGACAAAGAGAATGAGAGGGAGGAGGGTCAGAGGGAGAAGCAGACTCCCCGCCGAGCAGGGAGCCCAATGCAGGACTCGATCCCGGGACTCCAGGATCATGACCTGAGCCGAAGGCAGTTGCTTAACCAACTGAGCCACCCAGGCGCCCTAAAGATTTTATTTTTAAGAATTCTCTGTACCCAATGTGGGGCTCAAATTCACAACCCTGAGATTAAGAGTCTCATGCTCCACGACTGAGCCAGCCAGGTGCCCCTATCTTTTCCTTATTTTTAACAAAGGAAAAACAACTATAATGTTAGGATAGACTTAAGAAAGATCTCATACTGAAACTCAAAATCTGTTTCTAGAAAACTAACTTCCAGTCTTGTGAATTTGAAGAGTTCTGCTGGAAATACATTTTTAAGCATACTGCATAAACAATAAGCACAAATAAATTTTACATAAGTGATAAATAGTCTGCCAAACAGTAAATATAAAATTTGGTTTGGTGCTCAATTTTGCATTTCTAAGACATCACAGACTATCTAAACATAATGATTATCTGAAGGACCTTTATACAAGAGAGGTGACTCTGAGGCTATAGGCTTTCTTATTCCTTTACACACTCAAGTAAATACATATTTACATGGGAGAATGATTAATGCTATGTTAGAACACAAAATAGAGGCCACTAACTCAGCAGTAGTGGTTGGGGTTGGAGTGACATTACAGTCAGGAGACTTGGCAATGGATATGATGACAGCACAACCCTATTCCTGACAGTGTTAACAGTGGGAAACTGCTTCTTCATTATAAAGGTCACGGACTCCCAGCAGGAAGGTCATTCTCTACCCAACACCTTTTTTGGCAGGTCCCAAAAGTGTACAGCATTTTTTTTTCCTTTGATATTTTTCCTCTGTGTGTGGT